AGGCAATCGGTGACTAGGCATACGTAGTACGTGTCCCAACCATCTCAGTCGATGAAGGTTCACAACCTCGTCGACTGACTTACCTCTTCTCCCTAAAACTCTACACCTAACTTCTGCATTACTCACATGGTGACACCACGGAATACGTCCTATACTACGAAGGCAACGGTGGTCAAATACCTGTAACCTTCTCATGTCTTCCACTTTCAATGGCCATGTTTCACAGCCATACAGTAGAACAGAGCGGACTGCTGTGCAGTACACGCGACCCTTAATAGACAAACGAATATCACGGCGGCGCCATAGGTGGCGCAAATTGGCAAAAGCCAATCGAGCCTTTTGTATCCGTGCAGAAATCTCATCGGCAACTAACCCACCGGAGTTGATCCTACTTCCCAGGTAAGTGAAGTGGTCAACACACTCAACCACTTCACTCTCTATTGTTAACCGCGGTACCGCTGAAGACCAGTCCTGGAGCAAAAATTTGCATTTGGGTGGTGAAAATCGCATCCCAAACATTCTCAAATTCCCACTCAAAGTGTTCAGAAGACTCTGCATCTTGTCAGCGTCTTCACCTAACAGGACTATGTCATCTGCATATTCTAGATCTAAGGAAAATTCACCTGTGTCCGGTCAACGTCTTTGTAATTAGGTGACGAGAGGGAAACCTCCATAAGAATATCTATGATAAAATTAAATAAGAATGGGGATAGTGGGCATCCTTGACGGACACCACTTGATGAGTATAGCTCCCTGGACAACTCACCATAGGCTCTAACATGCCCACAAGTGTTCGAGTAGAGAGCTTTCAATAAGGTGATGTACTTACTAGGCACGCCTTTCAGTGACAGACACTGCCATAAGACTTCTCGATCAACGGAGTCAAATGCCGCCTTCAGGTCGAGAAATACAGCTATTGTCGGGCGTCTGTAAGCATGCCTATGTTCCAGGACCTGGCGCAGTGTGAATATTTGGTCGATACATCCACGGCCAGGTCTAAAGCCTGCCTGGTTTTCTCGGGCTTGCTGTTCCCGAGCTCCACTCAGGCGTCGGAGAAGCCAAGCCAAGCCACCGTCTATCTCAACGTGCAATGCTAAGCAAAGTTAGATTAGTTTGGAAGAGGATTCAGGATGGCTAGACTAAGGCCTAATACCAGTCGGTAAAGTTTCTGTTTGTTGGTCTCAGCCATATCGGGAGATGTAGACTACCTATCTGGCGTCCTGGAGACGATGGTTGTGAACTCATGGTGACAAAGATGAAAATCGGTGACAATGGCGCAGATCTATTCATTCTCTGACGTCTTCTGGAGCTTGAAATATTCGCACTAACCTTTAACCTCAAATTCTTTATCCTGATATGAGTCTTTTTCTATCCGTCTGTTCCTTGGTATACTACTGTGAAGTGTGGCAACTTGAGCCGACCTACTGTTGTGCGAGGTTCTACTTTGGTTTTGTCTGTTTGTTTGATCAGTGTGAGCTTGCATTTTAAGTAACAAATCACCATCTTTACATCACAAATTAGATAATTGAGCCTAGGGTCAGTTGTTAGAACTCTCTATGTATCCAGTGACTTACGTTTTTCCTCTTCACTAACCACCTATTACTTCAAAAAAAAACTGCCTAGCTGCATAATTGTCGGCTTAATTTTTTGTATACTGATGAGACAGCGAAGACGGGACTTCAAGTGGACGTAGAGAAGACAGAGTTGATGAAGATATGCAACCAACAACAACAAGCAACAATCACCATCAACGGGAGAATTCTAAACGAAGTTGTTTCTTTCACCTGCCTGCCTGGGCAGCATCGTTTCAACTACAGGCGACACAGGCACTCATGAGGACATCGAAGCCAGGATCGGAAAGGCAGCAAGACAGGCCTTCTTGCATTAATGTGAAATTTGTTAGGAGATCTACTTGCACTTCACTCAGCATGAAGAACAAGATTTTCAACACTGTCAATCAAGTCAGTGCTATTATGTGATGGTTGAGAGACTTGGCGCGTTACGAAAAGCATTTCTAACAAACTGCAGATATTCATCATCAATAGCTGCCGCCTACGCTCACTCGATACTTAAGATCAGATCAGAAGGCCAGAAAGAATAAGCAAGGAGGCACTCTGGCTAGCAATGAATCGGCCAAGAGCCTATCGCCTAACACCTGGTAACATAATCTTGGCCCTCATCACACAGTGTTGGCCGAAGTAGGTTCAGGCTGGAAAAAGGCTCGAGGTGACCAGACTAAAACATGGCATTAATGCATGAAGTTGGTTTGAGCCATGTGGGGCGATGCGGACTAGCCGGTTGCGGTCGGTGGGACAAGAAGAACCAGTGGCTGGAGACTGACAATAGGCGGTGATACGGCTCAGAACTAATGTCAGTGGTGCAGATGTATCCCCATATACATTGTCCTCATCTTAAGGACGCTATACCGAATCTCACCATTTTCTCATTCTTTCTTTGTCTCTTTTAGTACTTTATATTTCTTCTAACTGAACTTTCTTTTCATCTTCCACTTGACTGCCTTGTTTGCTTGATGTACTGATATGAGGTGTTGGAACTCGGAGCGTTACGCAGTAATGCCTGGTTCTGTGTTGATGGAGATTGGTTTGGATTGGACATAGATTGAGAAGATGGTTTGGGGACATGACGCGCTAGGTCAGGCCATCGAGTGAAACCAAAAGGGGAAACGACAAATTAGGCATCCGAGGATGACATGAAGGAGGAGATGGTGTGTGGAAGAAATGAAAGTTCATGGGCAGTTGTGGAGCCAGGTTGAAGAAAAAGACTTCAGAGAAGAGAGTGAAATGGTGATGTACTACTGAAGTTGTATGTTCCTCTAGGAACCCAATGTACAAATAATAATAATACTGGTGATATTTTTCACTCCAGTAAGATTACAATGTTAGTACCCACTTTGTTGTTTTTCATCACCACTGAATTTAACTTTCACGTATAGTTATGGATAAATTTTATTATACTAACTACTTCTTCTTTGTTCACATTGAATCATCATTATCATCGATTGTTTACCAATATATCTCAATACGTCAACCAGTTAGAATTTTTACTTTTATAACATTTTTAGGCGATGAACCTTCATCGATTGAGATGGTTGGGACATGTGTTACGTATGCTTAGTCACCAATTGCCTCTTCACACAATGTTGGCTGAAGTAGGTCCAGGCTGGAAAAAGGCCCGAGGTGGCCAGACTAAAAAATGGCACAACTGTATGAAGCCTCTAACTGTTGGTTTCAGCTATGTGGGGTGATGCAGACTAGGTGGTAGGGGTTGGCGGGACAAGAGGAACCAGTGGTTGGAGACTAACTCTAGGTGATCACATGCCTCAGAACCGATGTCGGTGGCGCAGATGTATCCCCACACACATTATCCTAATCTTAACGACGCTATACTGAATCTCACCATTCTCTCATTCTTCCTTTCTTTCTCTCTTTTCGTACTTTATATTTCTTCTGACTGAATTCTCTTATCTTCATCTTACGCTTGACTGCCTTGTTTACTTGATGTACTGATATGAGGTGTGGCAAGTTGGACCATTACGCAGTAATGCCTGGTCCTATGTTGATATTGATTGATAGATTGGTTGAGTTAGGTGATGACAAGCCATTAAATTGTTTGATTCTTGTTCACTTACTTAAGGAATAATTAATCACCAGTTAAATGTCATACTGCTGTGGGGGTCGCTGATCAAAATGGATATATAAGTATTATATATATTGAGAGGGCGGTAGAAATCCTAAGCAATTACCAGTAATGTGTAAACATTCTGCTCATAGAAACGTAAGAGACAATGCGGGTGTATGAAGAGCAAATCAAGAGAGAAGCAGAAGAGGAAATGAATCACATGCAAATGATTGCCTTAGTGCAAGGTTTTAATAATAAAGATTTTTTCTCTTTCTTTTCGTTTCCTTCAATACTAATCATTAGGGGAGATCCCATCCATGCAGATCAACCTAGGACCAGGCATTACTGCGTAATGGTCCAACTTGCCACACCTCATATCAGTACATCAAGTAAACAAGGCAGTGAGGCACAAGATGAAGATAAGAGAATTCAGTCAGAAGAAATATAAAGTACGAAAAGAGGGAAAGGAAGAATAACAAAATGGTGAGATTCGATATAGCGTCGTTAAGATGAGGATAATGTGTGTGGGGATACATCTGCGCCACCGACATCGGTTGTGAGGCATGTGATCACCTAGAGTTAGTCTCCAACCACTGGTTCCTCTTGTCCCGCCAACCCCTACCACCTAGTCTGCATCACCCCACATAGCTGAAACCAACAGTTAGAGGCTTCATACAGTTGTGCCATGTTTTAGTCTGGTCAGCTCGAGCCTTTTTCCAGTCTGGACCTACTTCAGCCAACATTGTGTGACGAGGTAATCGGTGACTAGGCATACGTAGTACGTATCCCAACTATCTCAATCGACGAGGGTTCATAACCTCGTCAACTGATTTACCTCTACTCCCTGAAACTCTACACCTGACGTATGCGTTACTCACATGGTGAATTAGTTTATCAGTGATATCCCGTTCCGTATGGATGTTATCTGATTAGCTTTTATGCCAAATTATCATTGATTCATTTGTGTAATAAGATTATTGCACTACATATATCACTAGATGGTTACATCATTGCCTCGTCACACAATGTTGGCTGAAGTAGGTCCAGGCTGGAAAAAGGCCCGAGGTGGCCAGACTAAAACATGGCACCAATGTATGAAGTCTTTGACTGTTGATTTGAGCCATGTGGGGTGATGCAGACTAGATGGTTGTGGTCCGCGGGACAAGAGGAACCCGTGGTTGGAGACTGCCTCCAGGCGATACTGCTCAGAACCGATGTCAGTGGCAACTTGGACCGTTACTCAGTAATGCCTGGTCTTATGTTGGTATTTGTGATGATATGATGGAAGTTTGAATTGTTAAATTGAGTGCTAATAAATAACATTTACATGTTTAATGTAAAATGTTTTTTTTTGTTCAGAAATGTCATCTAATGACGGTAATTCACAACATAAAGAGAGTTTAATGCATGAAATCAACGCATTGTTTGCTCCACCAACAAGTGAATCATACGGTAAAAAAGGTTCACTTCGTATTGTAAGTTTCTATGATATATATTTACTTTTTATTTGAATAGCCATCGTTTCGTCGAGCACGTAAAAGTAACGAATCACACTCTAACAATACGGAGACAATCAGTTCAAATTTAGATCATTATCAGATGCCTATTGGTGTTAGTGGTGCCGGTGGTGGTGTTGGTGGTAGTGGTGGTAGTAATAATGGTCCATCAACTAAGAGTGATCCATTTTGGAGGAAACCTCGAGCTAATTGCCATGAATATTGTGATAGTTGTGGTTGTATTGAAGGCGAACGACTTGTCTGTGATCTATGTCCAGCTAGTTTTCATTTAGAATGCCTTGATCCTCCACTAGATCCTGATGAAGCACCTGTTGGTGTCTGGTTCTGTCATCGGTGTTCAATGCTATTAAAGGTATGACAGTAAACTAGCCTTTTTAATATTTTACTTGTGGCTTACATTTTATTAAGATGCTTATATGCAAGCGTATACTACAGTCAATTAGCTTGTGCTTTATCACAGGTGTTTCAAACCTAAAGGATGTAGTCTCTTTCACCTACCTAGGCAGCGTCGTTTCAACTATAGGCGACACAGGCACAGACGAGGACGTCAGAACCAGGACTGGAAAGACAGCAAAACAGGCTTTCATCAGTCTGAAATCAGTGTGGAGATCTACTGCACTCAGCACAAAGAATAAGATCCGGATTTTCAACACTAATCGAGTCAAGTAAGTCCTTCTATATGGTTCAGAAACTTGGCGTGTCACGAAAAGCATTTTCAACAAACTGCAGACATTCATCAACAACTGCCTATGCTGGCTCGATACTGAAGATCAGATGGATGACCAGAAAGAATAAGCAATAAGGAACTCTGGCTGGCTGTGAACGAACTAACCAAGAAACTATCACCCAACAAATATGCAGAGGGAGAAAGTGGAAATAGATTGAGCATGCACTGAGGAGACCATTCGGGGACATCACGCGTCAGGCCAGGTCGTCAAGTGGAACCCATATGGGAAACGACAAGTTGGGCTTCCGAGGTGAGGGTGATATGGAGGAGATTGTACGAGGAAGAAATGAGAGCTTCTGGGCAGTTGTAGAGGCATGTTTGAAAGATTTCAGAGAAGAGAGTGGAATGGAAACGTGCTACTGAAGCCGTATGTTCCACTAAGAACCGAAGGGACAAATAATACTAATAATATAAACCACAGGACAATAAATAAGGTAGTACTGCAATAGATAGAATAGAAAGAAATCAGCGTGAAACTTTGCACAGAAGTACATCAGCTCAAGTTACCACCCTTCACAATAGTATAGAAAGAATAGGGGAACTCTCCTCTAATCTAATCCAACTTTACTTCACCACTTTAATCGATAAAGGTTTACAATCATCTTAAAAACAAAGTGTATTGAATTCAGTTTTTAGATCTTGAAGAGTATAAGATGTTGATCTTAGTTTCTAGTTATCAATTGGTTTTATTGTCATATTAAGAGGGGCTGGATTCAATTGGGAGAAGGTTTAGGATAACCAGATGAAAAACATGGAGCTAGTGTTCACTAAATCTCTGAATGACTCTATCTATCTGTTTACTATTTATATAATTTCATTGTCATTTTAATAAAGGATGAAGATGATAAGACATCAACATCAAGTAGTCAAACTACTATTATTACAGAGACAGGATCTTCACGTTGTGGTAAAAGTGGAGAAAAACGACGACAACAACATTATCCAACATCATCATCATCATCATCATCATCATCGTCATCATCATCATCATCATCATCAACAACAACAACAACAACAGGTGTAATCATCACAATGGTGACAACAAACACTGTACAATTGACTTCAACAGTTACCTCTTCTATAAATACTAATACTAATCATATACAAAGTTCATTACAACATTTTATACAATCACAACCAACGCCAATAACACCAATAACAACAACAACAAATAAACGTCATTATGCATTTCGTTCAACAATAAATGAATCAAATCATTTATATAATTGTCGTTCTAGTCGATCAATCCCTTGGGGTGATTCTGCATATGTAGCTGATATTGAAGACTCTGAATTACAATCATTATGGGAAATGATTGAATATGCTCAGTATCAAAATCCTAAAGAATTTGAATTATCAAAAGATTTAATGCCTAGTATCAAACTTCCTGGTAAGTTTCGATGGTATTTTATCTTGTAATGATGTACCTGGATGTATCTGCCTCCCACTGCGGAGTGATGTTGTTCCCATCGGGACTCGAACTCGGGGGCGACCGGTCCAAAGGTGAGAGCGTTATCCACTCTACACTATCGAGCTACGATAGCCACTTCTTGTACGACGGGTATAATCTTTTTTAGTGTTATTGCTTGTATGACACCGTCGTTGATTAGACTGAATGGATCAGTCTCTGTTGGCATATGGGCTCCTGTGCTGATGCCCCGATATTGCCTGTTTTTAATTGTGTAGGGTAATGATGGGTGGTGGCTAGCAGTGGAATCCAGGATTCGCATTCCGTCCTATTTGGGACTGATCAATTCGCTTCAATCAACGACGGTGTAATACAAGCAATAACACTAAAAAAGACTATACCCGTCGTACAAGAAGTGGCTATCGTAGCTCGATAGTGTAGAGTGGATAACGCTCTCGCCTTTGAATCGGTCGCTCCCGAGTTCTAGTCCCCGTGGGAACAACATCACTCCGCACTGCGAGGCAGGTACATCCAGCTGACGAAATGCGCATCCTGGATTCCACTGCTAGCCACTACCCATCATTACTGTATATAATTAAAACACAGGCAATATTGAGGCATCAGCACAGGAGACCATATGCCAACAGAGACTGATCCATTCGGTGCAATCTACGACGGTGTAATACAAGCAATAACGTATTGTAATGTACTTGGTGAAATCAAGGATGGACGTTTTGTCTTGCACAACGGGTGGTTGTTATACCCCAGTAGCCTAGTGAGTAGCTTTTTGCCGTTTGAAGTGAACGGTATTTAAACCATTGAGACGATATGCATAACACATATCCAAGCCACCAACCTCAGTGTCTTCAGATGAATGATAATCTCCACTATACCCAAATCGACGCTATTGTGTACTTCGGAATCAGTCAAAAGAATAGTAGTCAGCGTGTTGTGAATATGAGTATAAGGGGTATATATCCAATAGACACGACTGTTTCGAAGTATGAGATCTCCTGGAATCAATTATTATTATTTGCTCTTTTGAATTCTTAGTGGAACATAGGGCTTCAGTAGCATGTCGCCATTTCACTCTATTCTGTGAAGTCTTTCTTTAACCTGGCTCCAAAACTGTCCACAACCTTTCATTTCTTCCTCACATGATCTCCTCCTCTATGTCACCCTCAGACGCCCAACTTGTCGTTTCGCCGTTGGGTTCCACTCGACGACCTGAACTGGCGCATCATGTCCCCGAATGGTATTCTTAATGTATGTTCAATCCTATCCATCTACTTCTTCTGCATATTCGTTGGCCGATAGCTTCACGCTTCGTTGGTTCGTTGTTGCTTATTCTTTCTCGTCTTTTGATCTGGTCTTCAGTATCGAGTGAGCGTAGGTGGCAGTTGTTGATGATGTATGTCTTCAGTTTATTGGAAATGCTTTTTGTAACCTACCATGTCTCTCAACTACCACATAGAAGCAAGTACCGACTTGAACGACTTAGTGTTGAAAATCTGGATCTTGTTCACGCTTTACACTGAGTGCAGTGCAGTAGATCTCCACATTGATTTGATGAAGCAAGGCCTGTCTTGCTGTTTTGTTTTCGATCCCGGCTTTGATGTCGTCATCTGTGCTTGTGCCACCTGTACTTGAAACGATGCTGCCTTTTAGGTAGGTAGGTGAAAGAGACAACTTCCTCTTGATTTTTCCCATTGTTGGCGATCGGTGCTTGTTGTTGTTGTTGTTGCTGGTTGGATGTCTTCATCACATCTGTCTTCTCTATGTTCACGTGAAGGAAGTCGCGAAATGCAAATCTTCTAGGGTCTTTTCATCGATGAAACATCGAGCGTATGCTCATCTTCTCGCTACTCACAGTTTCTTGCATGTTCCAGTCCAGTTCAGTCGACTACAATCAGGAAGATGATCGGTGATAGTAGGCAACCTTGTCTTACTTTTGTCTTCCCTTCACTTCAAAGGTATCACTAAGCTTTCCATTGTCAATCACTTGGTATGTGGTGTCGTCATATAGCTGTTGAATGAGATTGATAAAGGTTTGTGCCACTTCGTAGTGTTTAAGCAACTGCCCGCCAAATTGCTTCTCGGTCGATGCTGTCGGAGGCCTTTTCAAAGTTGATGAAGTTGATGTCCCCAAACCGTCTTCTCGGTCTATGTCCAATCAGTCCAGACCATCTCCACTTTCTTCTTCTGCATATTTGTTGGGCGATTGTTTCTTGCTTCGTTGGTTCGTTGCCCGGCTAGAGTTAGTTGTTGCTTATTCTTTCTGGCCATCTGATCTGATCTTCAGTATCAAGTGAGCGTGAGCGGAAAAAAGGCCTGTCTTGTTGTCCTTCCGATTCTGGTTTTGACGTTCTCATCTGTGTGTGTGCCGCTGCCTGTAGTTGAGACGATGTTTCTTAGACAGGCAGGTAGATGAAAGAGATGACTTCGTTTAGATTTCTCCCATTGATGGTGATTGGTGCTTGTTGTTGTTGTTTGTGTATGCTTATCACCTCTGTCCTCTCTATATTCACCTGAAGTGATGTGGCCACCTTGAATCCTCTTCGAATATAATCTACCATCGCCTAAAATGTACATCGGGTTAGATGGTGACTCGATATTACCAAGTACATGTCTAAACCCTCTTAGTCGACTCCAATTTACAATCACTAACCTTCTAATTTAATTCATTATCGTCTAGGTTGGCTTCGACTTAAAATAGGCATTCTATACTTGTTTATCGAGTATAGAATGGCAGTCAACCCTCTAACTCAACTTCATCGACTTTGAGAAGGCCTTTGACAGCATCGACCGACAAGTAATTTGGTAGGCAGCTGCTTCAACACTACGGAATACCACAAACCTTTATCAATCTCATTCAACAACTATATGAAGACGCCACATGCCAAGTAATTCACAATGGAAAGCTCAGTGATGCCTCTGAAGTGCAGTGAAAACAGGAGTAAAACAAGGCTGTGTACTTTCACTCATGATATTCCTGATTGTGGTGGACTGGATCATGCACCAAACAGCGAGGAGAGGGGAATACGCTGTCTGGACCGAGGAAAAGATCCTAGAAGATTTGGATTTCGCTGATGACTTGTGTCTAATGTCACACAAATTCGAAGATCTACAAGCAAAAACTAACAAGTTGACAGAAGAGGCGAAGCAGTGAAGACGCGACTTCAAGTGGACGTAGGAAAGACAGAGGTGATGGTGATACCCAACCAACTCCACCACCACCAACAACAACAAGCTCCAATCACCAATAATGGGAGAAACTTAAAGAAAGAAGCCTCTCTCACCTATCTAGGCAGCTTCGTTTCAACTACAGCCAGCGGCACAGGCATAGACGAGGACGTCGAAGTCAGGATCGGAAAAGCAAAGCAAGACAGGCGTTCATTGAAATGAAACCAGTGTGGAGATCTTCTGCACTCAGCATAAAGCGTGAACAACATCCAGAATTTGAACACCAATCCAGTCAAATCAGTGCTTCTGTATGGCTCAGGGACTTGGAGCGTTACCAAAAGCATTTCAAACAAACTATAAACATTCATCAACAACTGCCTACGCTGGCTCGATGCTGAAGAGCAGATGGATGACCAGGAAGAATAAGCAACAAGGAAGTCTGGCTAGTGACGAACCAACGAAGAAGGAACCTATCGCCCAACAAATATGCACAAGTGAGTGGAAGTGGAGATGGATTGGGCATACACTGAGAAGACCATTCGGAGACATCACGCGCTAGACCATGTCGTCGAATGGAACCCAGATGGGAAACGGCGAGTTGGGCGTCCGAGGATGACATGGAGTAGATCGTGTGAGGAAGTAATGAGAGCTTGTGGGCAGTCGTGGAGTCAGGTTCAAAAGTTTGCAGAGAAGAGAGTGGAATGGAGATGTCCCACTGTTTCACTAGAAACCCAAGGGACAAATAATAATAACAATTAATAATAATAATTGTTCATTTTTCATATGAGAAGAAAACAATTTGTTCATTTACTTTCCAAAGCATTTAGTTATGTTTCTTTTCTGTTTTGTTCCTATAAAATCATCGGTGTTAAGGTTCATATAAAACGTTAACAGAGCGTAAGAATAAAAATATCATTGAATTAGAAAATGGTATTATTCCACAACCTGTAAGACGTTGTTATGTATGTATACGGTAAGTTCATATTCTTGTTTTATTTTATGTGTATATAAATGGATTGTAATTTTGGTTTATCAATATGATTGAACTATTTAAGGAAGCAACTGTTTTGGTTCGATATACTAGATGATGATTACTCAACCGACTTGGTGATCGGGTTTTTATATCAAAATGACTCAAAGAGGCTATCCTGGTGGAATACTTATTCCTTCGACATCTTACAATACCAAAAAGATCTGTTGGATAGGGATTAGACGAAAAGTAGTTACTGTTGTTGCAGATCTTAAGACAAGTCGTACTACTGCTAACTGGATGGGATTCAGTTATACAGATTAGTGTTGAAGTAAACTTTTATTTGATGATAGATTGTGAAGCTTAAAGTAATTATGAAGAATGAACTATACGTATATTCTACATGAGTAATTGAGTAGACTGCGCTGATAAACGGGTTTTGTCCTTGGATGTTTCTAATCGTCAAGATTATTCATCTGAGCTAGTGGAACATAGGGCTTCAGTGGCACAACTCATTTCACTCTCTTCTCTGCAATCATCTGCTTTAATCTGGCTCCATCACTGCTCAAAAACTTTCATTCCTTCCTCACACGAACTTTTCCATATCACCCTCGGATGTCCAACTCATCGTTTCTCCTTTGGGTCCCACTTGAGGGCCTGGTGCGTTATAGCCTTAAACCGCCTTCTCAGTGTATATCCAATCCAATCCATCTCCACTTTCTTCTTCTGCATATTTGTTAGGGGATAGCTTCTTTCTTCGTTGGTTCGTTGCCAGGCCAGAGTTCCTCCGTGCTACAAACTGTCAGAGACCGACTCTGTAGGCAAAAGTATCCATCTATCAAATACCATGAAGTGAATGTGAGAACGAAGCAGTCGGTTGGGAACAGTCATGGAAGCAGAGCACACAAATTTATCGAAACATAGAATAATAGACTCTGGAAAGATGACTAATTCGGAGAAGTACTCAGCTATCGGTCTCCATCCACTGACCCACAATCATACTATATATAGGGTGGGTAGGATAGGATGACATTTCCAACGCCTAATATAGCTATAGGTGGAAGGAGAGATTGATGACGAAGTGTTTGCAAGAGGATAAACCATTTAAAGATAACAGTCAGGGGGAATATTCAAGCCTTTGTCATCTATTTTCCCCAATGTCACCAAGATTCACTCCTCAATCATTGATTCCTATCATCTCCACAATCCCAATTAGGTAGTCTACATATACCTCCTTACACGACTTAGATCAACACACTCAGGGAAGTCATTGAGTTGTATCATGTTTTGTTCTCCATACCTTTGAACCTTGTTCCAACCTGATCCAACTTGCAATGGGATCTTGAGATAGTTGGTTCCGCGATATTTGCATTTCATCTCCAATCCACTTCAACTGATGAAGGTTCACAACCACATTTTCTAGTACTCTTCACATGACGTCAACATGACTGGAGAAATACTCGGTTATCTCCCTCTGTATACATAATCACACCATATTAGGGTGTGTGGTATCGGATAGTGTCAGTTTTGCAGGTTACATCATGTTGACGGCGACGATAATGAAAGTGGTTGGATAAACTTCTTTTGAATACAAAGGCTAGGTTTGTTATGTAAAGGTGGATTGCAATCGCCTGTTATGTGAAGTAACCGAGTGCATAATCCATGTGATGGTAAATTAGTTGAAATCTGATGGATAATTTTGACGGCTTTTCTAGTAACCACTTGATGTCCTGTGTCAACTAAGTGTGCAAGTTTCGAGGTCTTTATTGTTCTAATCTGTCCCTTGTTCAACTATGATGGGTGGTGGTCAGAAATTCGACGAAGGAAATACCTTATTGTACGCTCAATGTAACTAGCTCCACAGGAGCAGTTGAATTGATAAATGCACATAGAAGTGACAGAATCAGGCAGTTTGTTTTTATTTCCCGCATCTAGAATCGGACGGTTGTAGAAGATGGAACATAATTTCGCAGTTGGGAATACAAAAGGCTCGATTGACTTTTGCCAGTTTATGCCCCCTGTGACGCCGTCGTGATATCCATTTGTCTATTAACAGTCGCATTTACTACACATGCACAGCAGTCCAGTCTGTTCTACTGCATGGCTGTGAAACATGGTCATTGAAGGTGGAAGACTTGATAAGGGTCCAGGTGTTTGACCACCGTTGTCTTCGTAGTGTTATAGGCGGTATTCCGTGGTGTCACCACGTGAGTAATGCAGGATGCAGGTGTACAGTTTTAGGGAGAAGAGGTAAATCGGTTGACGAGGTTATGAACGTTGAACGATTGAGATGGTTGGGACACGTATTACGTGTGCCTAGTCACCGAATACCTCGTCACACAATGTTGGCCGAAGTAGGCCCAGGCTGGAAAGAGGCCCGAGGTGGCCAGACTGAAACATGGCACCAGTGTATGTAGTGTTTGACTGTTGGTTTGAGCTATGTGTGGTGATGCAGACTAGGTGGTTGGGGTCGGTGGGACAAGAGGAACCAGTGGTTGGAGACTGACTTTAGGTGATATGGCTCAGAACCGATGTGAGTGGCGCAGATCTATCCCCACACACATTATTCTCATCTTAACAACGCTATACCGATTCTCACTATCTTGTCATTCTTCCTTTCTTTCTTCTCATACTTTGTGTTTCTTTTGACTGAATTTTCTTATCTTCTTTTTTCCACCTCACTACCTTTATACTTAGTGTACTAATATGCAGTAATGCCTGGACCTATGTTGATATTGATGATGAGCTGGGGAATGCTTTGTGCAAGACTCTTTTTATTCATGTGTGATGATCTCACTGGCAATATCACTCTCAAATTTCAGCTTCAAGAAGATTCGCTTCTTACGAACTGTTGGCATTGTTGTCTTAACCCTCGTAATATTCATGTGCTTAGTTACAAACTTGTCTGAGTAGCCATTCCTACTAAGCAGATCACGGATGGTGGCATACTCTTCCTTTATAGACTAATCTGAGCAAATAGCTGAGGCCCGGTATGCTAATCATTTCGCTAGGTTCCATTTGTATTGAAGGGGTACAGCACTAAAGATATTGGCTTTCTATAAACACTTCGCTTCAGGATTCCATCTGACCTTCTTACCAACGGAACATCAAGAAATGGGATAGTGTCATTTTTCTCCTCTTCCATTGTGAAGTTGATTGGCGGATGAACACTATTGAACTTATTCATAACAGCATTTTTATCAGTCTCACTTTTGAGAACTATAAGGGTATGATCCATGTAACGATAATATAACTCTAAACGGCTAATAGTTTCGTTCAGTGAACCATTCTCAAGTTTTGCCAGAAAAAAACCGATAAGAGTGGGCCAAGGAGTGATTTCATAGCAACACTATCAGATTGCCGGTAGACTTCATTGTTGAAAAGAAATTGTGCATTCATCGTACACCTCAGAAGTAGTTCTTTCAGTATGGAGACTTGAATACCTATTTCCATGCCATGCTTCGTGAGTTTGTTGCAAATCAAGTCTGCAGTCTCCATGAAAGGAACGTTATGTCGATGGTGTTTATGTTGTGGAGTTTCAGCTATCATTAATTTATGTAGAGATGGTTATCAGGTAAGTGGTTCATCGGTTCAAAGTTTTCTCTGCCTACGACGATTTAGGCAGCTAGTCGATGATATTGTTATCATCATCAATGTCAACATGGGACCAGACATTACTGCTTAACGGTCCGAGTTGTCAAACGTCATATCACTACATCAAGTAGAAAGGTAGTGAGGTGCAAGATGAAGATAAGACAATTCAGTTAAAAGAAATATAAAATACTAGACGAGAGAAAGGAAGAATGAGAAAATGGTGAGACTCAGTATAGCGTCGTTAAGATGAGGATAATATGTGTGGGGATACATCTGCGTCACTCACATTGGTTCTGAGCCATATTATCTAGGTCAACGCAGGAGAATTTTCGTTATACCTAGAATATGCAGATGACATAGTTCTGTTAAGCGAAGACGCCTACAAGATGCAGAGTCTTCTGGACACTTTAAGTGGCAATTTGAGGATGTTTGGGATGTGTTTCTCGCCACGGAAATGCAAATTGTTGCTCCACCAATGGTGTTGAACGGTGCCACGGTTAACAATAGAGAGTGAGTGTATTGACCACTTCACTTACCCGTGAAGTGGGATCAACGCTGGTGTGTTCGTTGGTAGCCGATGAAATCTCTTCACGGATAAAAAAGGGTAGGTTGGCTTTTGCCAATTTACGCCACCTATGACGCCGCCGTGATATCCGATTGTCTATTAAGGGTGGCGTGTAGTGCACAGCAGTGCGGTCTGCTCTACTGTATGGCTGTGAAAGATGGCCATTGAAAGTGGAAGACATGAGAAGGCGGCTTCAAGTGTTTGACCACGGTTGCCTTCGCAGTGTTGTAGGCCGTATTCTATGGTGTCACCATGTGATTAACGCAGACGTTAGGTGTGACGAGGTTGGGGTCGATGGTATAACTTATTTCTGCACAACCCTAGTGCTGAATAGAATAAATTTATGATTGTGTTGAATGTGAAATTCAGGTGTGTTTTCCTTTTGCTTTCTTTTCTCTTTTTAGAACATGTTTCTATGCTCCTCTGTTACCATGTGATTATTGTTCTGCTTGTTATCATTTAGAGTGTTTAAATCCACCATTATCTTATTATCCATCACGTTATGATAGATGGATGTGTCCTAATCATACAGAGCATACAACTGAACGTTATATTATACAATCAATTCGTTTAACTGAACGAATGAGAATATGGAATATGTTATCTAAGAAAACGGAATTATCATCAATCTATAATAATGATAATGATAAATTGATTGAATCATCTGAGAAGCTCATTGAGATACTTGAACATCATACTCCACCATATGAATTAACTTATACACCAGATGAAGAAAGTATTATCCTATCTGATTTAATGCGTACTATTCAAAGGAATAGTAATGAATTGGAGCAATATTATCTATGTCAACAGAGTAAAACTGTTGTATCAAGTATTTTAGACTCTATTCTATATACTTCGGATAGATGTAGTCGTAAAGTTTATAATCCACGTGATTTATGGCGATTAAATAGACAATTAACAGCGAAACGAAGAAATAATCAAAGTTATAATAAACAATTAAGAATTGTGGTAAGTATATATATCTATGTATATCTATGTATTATTTTTCCCCTTGGCTAGTTAACTAACTCACTGGTAGTTACTAGCCGATTCTATGCCTGGGTAAAGAAGGAAGAGTTAGCAACCACCAACCCACATGATATTCCTGACTGTGGTCGACTGGATCATGCAGCAAACAGTGGGCAGCGAGAAGAGGGGGATACGCTGGACTGTGGAAAACAACCTAGAAGATTTGGATTTCGCCGATGACTTGTGCCTGATGTCACACAAACTTGAAGATCTACAGGCGAAAACTAACAAGTTGACAGAAGAGGCAGCGAAGACGGGACTTCAAGTGAATATAGAGAAGACAGAGGTGATGAAGATACCGCACCACCACCATCAACAACAACAACAAACTCCAATCACCGTCAACGGGAGAAACTTGAAGGAAGTAACCTCCTTCACCTACACCTATCTAGGAAGCACTGTCTCAACTACAGGCGGGACGGACGAGGACGTCAAAGTCAGAATCGGAAAAGCAAGACAGGCGTTCATTAGCCTGAAACCAGTGTGGAGATCTTCTGCACTCAGCATGCGGAACAAGATACGGGTGTTCAACACCAACGTCAAGTCAGTGCTTCTGTGTGATGGTTCAGAGACTTGGCGCGTCACGAAAGGGATTTCCAATAAACTACAGACACTCATAAGCAACTGCTTACGCTGTCTCGCTACTGAAGATCAGATGGCCAGAAAGAATAAGCAACAAGGAGCTCTGGGAACGAACCAACCAAGAACCTATCACGCAACAAATATGCAGGAGGAAGTGGAGATGGATTGGGCATACACTGAGAAGGCCGACTGAGGACATCACGCGTCAGGCCCTCGAGTGGAATCCCCAGGGGAAGCGACGAGTTGGACGTCCGAGGGTGACATGGAGGAGGTCGTGCGAGGAGGAAATGAGAGCTTGTGGGCTGTCGTGGAACCAGGTTCAAAAGATCTCAGAAAACAGAGGTCACTGGAGACGTGCTAGTGAAGCCCTATGTTCCACTAGGAACCCAAGGGACTAATAAATAAATAATATAACCCCATAAAAAACAATCCAATCGCTAAAGAAACTCCTAAGCACAAAAAAGAGTCTTGTGTAGCAATTTGAGAATGTCTAGGATGCGGGATGTGAGTGAAGTGGTTGAGTGTGTTGACCACTTCACTTACTTGGGAAGTAGGATCAGCACTCTACATGGATAAAAAAAGGCTCGATTAGCTTTTGCCAGTTTATGCCCCCTGTGACGCCGCCGTGATATCCATTTGTCTATTAACAGTCGCATTTACTACACATGCACAGCAGTCCAGTCTGTTCTACTGCATGGCTGTGAAACATGGTCATTGAAGGTGGAAGACTTGATAAGGGTCCAGGTGTTTGACCACCGTTGTCTTCGTAGTGTTATAGGCGGTATTCTATGGTGTCACCACGTGAGTAATGCAGGATGCAGGTGTACAGTTTTAGGGAGAAGAGGTAAATCGGTTGACGAGGTTATGAACGTTGAACGATTGAGATGGTTGGGACACGTATTACGTGTGCCTAGTCACCGAATACCTCGTCACACAATGTTGGCCGAAGTAGGCCCAGGCTGGAAAGAGGCCCGAGGTGGCCAGACTGAAACATGGCACCAGTGTATGTAGTGTTTGACTGTTGGTTTGAGCTATGTGTGGTGATGCAGACTAGGTGGTTGGGGCCGGTGGGACAAGAGGAACCAGTGGTTGGAGACTGACTTTAGGTGATATGGTTCAGAACCGATGTGAGTGGCGCAGATCTATCCCCACACACATTATTCTCATCTTAACAACGCTATACCGATTCTCACTATCTTGTCATTCTTCCTTTCTTTCTTCTCGTACTTTGTGTTTCTTTTGACTGAATTTTCTTATCTTCTTTTTTCCACCTCACTACCTTTATACTTGATGTAGTGATATGATGAGGTGTGTCAACTCGGACTGTGATTTCATCGATTCAGTGTTTTCTCTGACCTTGCATATAACTGGTCTTCAAGATGTCTAAGCAGTTGCTTGCATTCAATACGCTGATACGAGGAGTCAGGTATTTCAGCCCTGTTAACTGCTTATTGGTTGCATATTTTAGCAGGTCTAACTCATCTATACACGTTTACAATTAAATTGCTTGACCACAACGTAGCATAATTTATAAAGATGATGCAACCAATTTTTAGCATAAAATATGAGGTCATGTTGTTTGATTTCACTCGACATTGGTAATCATGAATTTGAAAGTATTACTGATATGGCTGATAATCGATCATCGGACTGTCCAGTGCTCTCAGGTTTCCAATATTCCTCCAACTAAGATCACTCCATGACAAATATCAACTTGAATCATCACAAAATTTTCACAGACCCTTAAATTCAATTGATAGTTTCTACCCACAAAGTTGAAGATCTACAAACGAAATGTAACAAGTTGGGAGAATAGGCGAGGCAGCATGGGAAGGTGGGACTTGGTTCGGGTAAACGTAGACAAGACGCAGGTTATGAAGATACCCAACCAACAACAACAACAAGCACCAATCAACATCAACGGCAGAAATCTAAACGAAGTTGTCTCTTTCACCTACCTATCTACCTAGTAGGCAGCATCGTTCCAACTTCAGGTAGCGGCAGTAGCACAGATAAGGACGTCAAAGCCGGGATCGAAAAGACAGAAAGACGCCTTCCTTCATTAATCTGAAATAATCACTATGGCGATCTACTACACTGCACTACACTCAGAATAAAGCGTGAACAACATCCGGATTCTCCACACTAATTCAGTCAAGTCAGTACTTGCTTCTGTATGATGGTTGAGAGAGTTGGCGCGTTACGAAAAGCACTTCCAACAAACTGTAGACATACATAAACAACTGCCGCCTATTCTCATTCGATACTGAAGATCTGGTCAGAAAACGAGAAAGAATAAGCAAAGAGGAAGTGTGGCTGGCCTGGCAACGAAGCGTGAAGCGATCCCCCAAGAAATGTTTAGAAGAAGAAAGTGAAAATGGATTGGATTGGTTGGACATAGAGTGAGAAGAGAGTTTGTGGACATGAAGCACCAGACCAGGTCGTTGAGTGGAAGCCTAATGGGAAACAACGAGTTGAGTGACCCAGGGTGACATGGAGGAGGGGAGAGGTGTGTAGAAGAAATGAAATGTTATGGTTAGTCATGTAGCCAGGTTAGCGAGAGTGGAGTGAAGAGAGTGAAATGGCGACGTGCTAGTGAAACCATATGTTCCACTAGGAATCCAAAGGTTAAATAATATACAACAAAACTCTGGTCAGAAGTCAAACTTCGTAGCTTTCAGTTGACTGAGCATCAGGCAGGAATCCCGATGGCCGCACTGGTTCGAATACTGGGGCAATCAAAATTTTCTTTCCACCTTCAATCCATCACACACTATAAATATTTTTCTCATCCCTTTATTTTATTGCTTGTTATTTGTTTTCTACTATATCTACTTAGGTACCGAAAGCAGTCAAATGTTTATATAATAACCCTGTAAAGAGAATTCCTCGAGTTAATGAAGCGATGAGAACGACGACGTCGACGACAATTTCTATGGCGGATGTCTCAAATGCAGATGAGAAAAACATAGTAAGTTGTATTAGCTTATCGGTTACCTTATATCATTGTACGTTTGTTTTGTTTGTCATTACATATAGATTGATGACATTCAGCCCCCCACCCCCCTCAGTGCCTCCCGCATCATAAATTATCCTTCGTAACTGTAAGTGAATGACCACATAAAGGTGCATCACCAATTGATGACGTATGTCTGATTGTGTAGAGATGCAGACTCCTAGGTTGGTCAGGAAGCCCATGTGACAATTGTAACCTGTGGTTATGTGGACGTTTTGTGAAATGGTTGTTGAATGTTGAATGTTGTGATTAACCTTCGTTCTTGAATATCATCTCCTTTTATTCACCTTTGTCAACTTGCTCTTTGTATACTACTGTGAAGTGTGGCAACTTGTATGTGTGTGAACGAGGTTGGGGGTGGGGCTCTACGTTCGTTTTGACTATATTTAGCTAACTTTCCCATGTTCGGCCATTCTAACTGACCCCAATCGGCTAGATTAACCTATGTACTTGACCTGATTTACAGACATTACATGGAATTAGATAGATTAGATTATTTTGGTGAATTGAATCTATGCGATGCTGAAACCAGCGAATAAAGCTCGTCTCTGAATGAGTTTAAAGGTCCACACCCAACTAATTCAGCCTTGTTGAGGAGCCTACATAGAACTTTCTGATGTTCCTTCCTTGGAAGGGTAACTTAATGGAGGCTATGAACTCCTTTCTAGTCATGTTGTCGTTATAATTCATACTGGTGTTTTCTAGCTTTATCACTAAGACATTTAAGTGAACCTGCCTTCACTCACTGACACTGAATGAGGTGATCGAAAGTCTAGATACACACCTGTTAGAATGTGTCAGTTTCTGTAGACTGTAGTCTCCAAAACACTGACATCTGTCTTTCGTTTTATCTTGTAATTCAACACAGGTGATTCTCCTCCGTTCATTTTCTACCTCCTCGTAAGTGAGAATTGGATTGGGCCTACTAGGAAATTGTCGTTATGTTCGGATTTCAATACAATAGTGAATGTGTCATCCGTATATCACCACCATGTTTTGAATGCAAGGTCAGACCTTCGTAACGCCAAATCTCTTCCCAACTATCCATAACTATGTCTGCCAAGATTGGAGATATTGGTGATCCCATCGATATCAGCTGCTTCTGTTTCTCGATATATTTTGGCGGAACTGATGTCCCGTCTGAGATTCGAACCCAGATCACTCAGTGTTATAGTTAGCAACTTTATCACTGAGCTATTCAGGCCGCGGTTGACCTCCTGTAGGACTGGCTTAGATATATTGATTGGTCACGGGACAGCAACCAATTTCATGCTGTCTAGTTCTGAGTGCAGACCGAATTCTATCGATCATATTTGCAATGTGGCAACCAAGCTAGGAAGCTCAGCATTGCGGTGCACATTAGTAGACGTTAGTTAGTTGGAGGCAATCGGCAGGAAGCCCTGGACCTAGGTTTTGTGCTTTTTGACACTCGTCAGCAAGGCGTATCTACAACCTCAAGGGAACTGATGTCCTGTCTGAGATTCGAAACCGCGTCACCCAGTGTCGTCGTCTACACGTCTAGAGACAGTTAATACCAATAGTTAAAGCCTTCATGAACTATAACAATGAATCCATGCGTGAAATCCAAAAGGTCGTTATATATATAGGTTCAAATATATGACAACTTCTTCTCCTCACCTGACTACACAAAGGTTGACCTAATCGCAGGAGAATCTTCGTTAGACCTAGAATACGCAGATGATATAGTCCTGTTAGATGAACACTCTGACAAGATACAGAGTCTGCTTGACACTGAGTGAGAATTTGAGATGCGTTTCTCGCCACGGAAATGCAAATTGTTGCTCCACCAATGGTGTTGAACGGTGCCACGGTTAACAATAGAGAGTGAGTGTAGTGGTTGAGTGTATTGACCACTTCACTTACCCGTGAAGTGGGATCAACGCTAGTGTGTTCGTTGGTAGCCGATGAAATCTCTTCACGGATAAAAAAGGGTAGGTTGGCTTTTGCCAATTTACGCCACCTATGACGCCGCCGTGATATCCGATTGTCTATTAAGGGTGGCGTGTAGTGCACAGCAGTGCGGTCTGTTCTACTGTATGGCTGTGAAAGATGGCCATTGAAAGTGGAAGACATGAGAAGGCGGCTTCAAGTGTTTGACCACGGTTGCCTTCGCAGTGTTGTAGGCCGTATTCTATGGTGTCACCACGTGAGCAATGCAGGATGCAGGTGTACAGTTTTAGGGAGAAGAGGTAAATCAGTTGACGAGGTGATGAACCTTCGTCGACTGAGATGGTTGGCTGGAACATGTGTTACGTATACCTATTGGCTGCCTGGTCTCACATTGTTGACCGAAGTAGGTTCAGGCTGGAACAAGATGACCGGGGTGGGTGGGTAGAGTAAAACATGTCATGAGTGTATGAAGTCCGGCTGGACAAGAGAAACCAACAATGGTTGGAGACTGACTCTAGGCGATAATATGGCTCAGAACTGATGTCAGTGGCGCAGATGTGTATCCCCCCTACACACATATTATCCTCATCTAACGATGCTATAGCGAATCTCACCATTTTGTTTGGTATTAATATCTGGTCCTATGTTGTCTGACTATTTATAACCATATTGTGCCTATTTGTATATATATATATATATATATGTTTTTTTTAACAAGTTCATTCGTGGTCTCCTACAATTTTATCTACAAAATACTTTGGATGAACGATCATCTGAAGGGAATTCACCGCCATCAATTGAAAAAATAACTACCGATACCACAACATCAGAGTTATTACCATTATCACCACCATCACTACTACAAGAAACATCCAGTAGTAATCCAATTCAATCGTTAAATATTTCTCAATCGATAAATGATTCTACTGAAATGGAGATAACCTATTTACCGACATCATCATCATCATCCTTGTCATTACCATTACAATCAACAACAACAGTATTATGTAATAATGAAGAGAAATTGAGAGATAATAACGTGAAAGAAGAAAATGTTGAACATTCACATTATCCTCTACACTTGTGTACAAGTGTGGATACACAGAGACAAGAAATAGTAGACGATACCGATATAGGTAGGTGAATATTGTCACTGTTTCTCACATTTATACATTTATAATTAACCTATAGAGAGAGAAGAGATAATCAATGGCTAGGTGATTGGTGACGTGCTGGCAAGAGAGCCCCTGAGTTGGATACATGAAGGGCAAAGTTCGCACTATGGAGAAGTCCTATACTGGAAGGAAACGTTAACTGTCCAGTGCTCGAAGGTTTCCAATGTTTCTCCAGTTGATGTCACTTCATGATAATACCAGTTTGTGTAAAGCAACCAATTCGTCTTCAGCTTCTTAAGCATAACTGAGACCTTAGCTATGCATGAATAGAGCGTACAGTTGTTGTCCCTGTCCACCCATGATCTTAACAACTTTGACACAACAATGATGGGCAGTGGAATCCAGGATGCGCATTCCGTCCTGTTTGGGACTCACTAGTCAACTGGATGTCCCTGCCTCCCACTGCGGAGTGTTGTTCCCAACCGGGAGCGATCGCTTCAAAGGCAAGAGCGTTATCCACTCTACACCATCGAGCCATGACATACACTTCTTGTGCGACGGGTATAGTCTTTTTTAGTGTTATTGCTTGTATTACACCGTCGTTGATTGAAGCGAATTGATCAGTCCCAAATAGGACGGAATGCGAATCCTGGATTCCACTGCTAGCCACTACCCATCATTACCCTACATAATTAAAAACAGGCAATATCGAGCATCAGCACAGGAGCCCATATGCCAACAGAGACTGATCCATTCAGTCTAATCAACGACGGTGTCATACAAGCAATAACACTTAAGACATTGGCACAGTTTATAAAGTCTTAATCGTCTCTCCTTCTGTGTAATGACAAGGGTAGTAGAATTTTTCATATAACTGTGATAGGTAAACAGTTACCGCTGTTACTGTATGTATTCGGTGTTGGTTTGATTAACTCAGATTGTCGGTCATCAATCTCTTCTTCCACTGAACTAGTTAGTTTTTAAGGCTGTTTGTCTGTCTCACTGTACCGTGTGATTGATTATGTGTGTAATTGCAGCATTTGAAAAGGATTAAGAAGAATTTCAGTTGTTATTCATCGTAGACTGACATCAGTTGAAGAGGAACAAAGGAAACCTGGGAGCAATGGATGGTATGGGACTCATGAGCAGTGCGCACCTACGACCCCGCCAGAGATCGATGAATGACAACTTGAAGTATTTCCAAATCTTCGCAACTCCCTGAAAATTCAATTGAACTGGCGCTCATTGGTGACTAGCTTCAAGAGGTATTCCCCAAGTTCCAATGAGAAATCGTGACCGGTGGGGGGCAAAGCTTGATGGTCGTGAGGATATTAACTCAACGATGACACTGGGTGGCGGTTGCGCTATATCTTGAGCTAACAGAATTTGGAAATATGGACCACTACATTCTGACCCAGTGACTCAATGTTAACGTGCTGTTCACGGAACCTGGAGGTCACGGATTCGATCCCTGGCGGGGTCGTGGGTGCGCATTGCTGAGGAGTCCCATAATAGAACGAAACAGCTGTCCAGTGCTCCCAGGTCTCCTTTGTTCCTCTAACTAATGTCAGTCTACGATGAATAACAACTTGAAATATTTCCAAATCCCCACAACTCCTTCAAAATTCAATTGAGAATAATTCTCAATCAGGCGGATAACTGAGATTCAACTGGCATTTAAACCAACAAACTTGCTTAGAAACAAGCTTTATACGTTAAAACATTCTAATGATTCAATTGGGCAGAATAATTTTGTTTACCGAATCCCTTACAAGGAGTGCGAAGTGAAATACATAGGTCAAAGTAGTCGACCAGGGTCAATTAGAATAACAAAGCACAAATGTTTAGCTAAATCAAGATTAGTAACATACTGGCAACAGAGCCCCTGTAGGTTCTGAGTTCGATACACGGAGGACAGGATTATGGGTTCGCAGTGTTGAGAAGTTGATTGTGGTCGACTGGATCATGCACAAACAGCGAGAAGCGAGGAATGCGGTATGCTGACCGGGAAAAGATCCTAGAAGATTTGGATTTCGCTGATGACTTGTGTCTAATGTCACACAAATTCGAAGATCTACAAGCAAAAACTAACAGGTTGACAGAAGAGGCGAAGCAGTGAAGACGCGACTTCAAGTGGACGTAGGAAAGACAGAGGTGATGATGATACCCAACCAACTCCACCACCACCAACAACAACAAGCTCCGATCACCATTAATGGGAGAAAGTTAAAGAAAGAAGCCTCTTTCACCTATCTAGGCAGTATCGTTTCAACTGCAGACGGCACAGGCATAGACGAGGACGTCGAAGTCAGGATCGGAAAAGCAAAGCAAGACAGGCGTTCATTGAAATGAAACCAGTGTGGAGATCTTCTGCACTCAGCATAAAGCGTGAACAACATCCAGAATTTCAACACCAATCCAGTCAAATCAGTGCTTCTGTATGGCTCAGGGACTTGGAGCGTTACTAAAAGCATTTCAAACAAACTACAAACATTCATCAACAACTGCGTACGCTGGCTCGACACTGAAGACCAGATGGATGACCAGCAAGAATAAGCAACAAGGAAGTCTGGCTAGTGACGAACCAACGAAGAAGGAACCTATCGCCCAACAAATATGCACAAGTGAGTGGAAGTGGAGATGGATTGGGCATACACTGAGAAGGCCTACTGTGGATATCACGCACCAGGCTAGGCACTCGAGTGGAACCCAGATGGGAAACGGCGAGTTGGCGTCCGAGGATGACATGGAGGAGACCATGTGAGTAATAAACGAGATCTTCAGGGCTGTCGTGGAGTCAGGTTCAAAAGTTTGCAGAGAAGAGAGTGGAATGGAGACGTGTAACTGAAGCTGTATGTTCCACTAGGAACCCATGGGAGAATGTTTCTCCATCTAATGTCACTTCATGATAATACCAGAATGTGTAATGCAACCGATTCATCTTCCAGCTTCTTAAGCATAACTGAGACCTTGACTATGGATGAATGGAGTGTTCACAGTTGTTGTCTCTCTTCACCCATGACCTTAACTTGGTTTTTTGGTTTGTTTTCTTTTTGTTCAACATTTCTCTTTGTCGAATATGGGGGATATCTTGAAGTTCTAATAACAAGTTACTTGTCTGATAGGATCAACTAGTGAGAAGGGAATAGGATGCCACCTAATTATTATAAAGTTTTCTTGGTAAAATGACTTAAGTTATTTTTTAAGCCTCGCTAAAACGACATTCTCTTTAATCAATCTGATGTCAGTAGGTGGAGTCATGTGTCATTTCTTGGAATTTCAAAGCAGTATGATGATTGGTTGGAAAGAAGTTTTGGGGATATTGAGCCCTTCTCTATGAAACATTCGAACAATCATATATTAGACCAACCAACCAATCAAATTATCGTGCTATGAGACCTTAGTAGACTTAGAACAACTCAATTCTGTCACCTACTAGTTGAGAAACGTGAATGCCTAGGCCAATGAACTATACTCTTACAGCATCATAGTTCATTGAAGGTTTCTAGAATTCAAACCAACGTTGTTTACTTCGTTCTTCTCTTTCATTTATGACGATAAACGGCTAAAACAGTAGTCAATTACTCGGCCATTGATGATATGTTTTAGCCTGTCCATCCTTACGTAACGTTTTTCTAGCCTGAATCTACTTCAACTGACATAGTGAGATGAGGTAGACGGTGATCAGACATGCATAACATATATCCCAAATGCATCAGATGACTTTTCTCTCCTTTTAAAAACTAAATACCCGATTTCTACATTACTGATACAGTGATATCATGAAAATGCCTTTGCCGCAAAGCCAATGACTATGAAATATCTGAAATCTCATATCTTCTGCCTTTACAATGATTATGTTTCAAAGAAATACATGGTAGAACAGTGTGAACTATGACCTTGGACACCCAACTCGTCGTTTCCCATCTGTGTTCCACTCGACGACCTGGCCTGGCACATGATGTCCCCGAATGCTCTTCTCAGTGTATGCCCAATCTATCTCCACTTCCTTCTGCATATTTCTTGAGTGATAGGTTGTTGGTTGGTTCGTTGCCAGGCAAGCCGGAGTTCCTTATTGCTTATTCTTTCTCGCCATCTGATCTTCAATAACGACCGTAGATGGCAGTTGTTGACGAATACCTGTAGTTTGTTGGAATGCTTTTCGTAAGGTGTGAGAAAGAAATGACAGCTTCTGGCAGTTGTGGAGCCAGGTTCGTAAGATTGCAGAGAACGAAGTGGAATGGAGACATGCTACTGCAGCCTTATGTTCCACTAGGAACCCAAGGGATAAATAATAATAATAATGATAATATGACAAAGTACACTCCTCTCCCTAATTGGTTATCACAGCTGTGGCGTAAATAGCTTGATTTGATGAAGTTTTTCCGAGCATTTTCTATTCGTACATAGATTTCATCAATCACTGACACTCATCAAAGGTGATATAACTTCCGAAGTAAATGAATTAGTCAATAAACACATGTATTAAATGATTGAATCGGCTTCAACTCATATTAAAACAATGATAGATACATCTGTGAGTATTCTACCTGTGATCAAATGAAACATTGGGATTCTCTATGTGGACGACACTTTTGTCATCATTAAGAAACGGATGATATAGACAACACTCACAGTTTGATCAACAACGTTTTCAATGACATCAAATTCGCAATGAAGAAGGAGTCAAACAACCAACTACCATTCTTCAGTGTTTCAGTCAGTAGGACGAATGCTGGAAAACTGGAAACTCATGTGTACAGGAAGCCAACACACACTGACCAAATCCTCAACTACAATAGCAACAACACACAAAATCAGTTGCGTGCAAACTCTATTCAAAAGAGCGAGAATACACTGCACTCCACAATAACAGCTTCACGGAGAAACGAAGAAAATTACTTGATGTTCATCGTAAAGAAGAATGGCTACCCACAAAACTTTATCAGAAGGTGCCTATCCCATGCATCATCAACTGCAAACTAATCGACTGGAATCTATAAACTTATCATCCTAACTTACATAAAGGATATATGAGGAATTACGGCCAGATTACTGAGATCACTTGGAATTGATGTGGGGCGCCTCTTAAACCAACAAATTCCCTTCAAACACTATTATGCAGACTAAAGAATGCAACAAGCAAAGAAGACAAACCCGATATCAAATCGACTACAATATCTGTAGTCAATACACTACATTGGACAAAGTGGCAGCCCTCATCACCTTCGTCTACATGAGCACCAATGAGCTATTAAACGCCACGATATTTCGTCAATCATTTCAATGAACGTGGATGGCAACCATAGACATGAATTAAGTTTGGACATAGAAAACACAAAGAATGTCAGAGAATTCCTAGAAGCTTGGCATTCAGGTCAGTCAGTCAGCAATCAACAGATGTATAGACATGGACCCGATCTATCAACCAATAAGAAAAATGATAAACGACAGAAAGGTGAGAGGTGAAGCAGAGGAACAGCCAACAGGAGAGTCTATATAATCAATGACACAACAATCGAAGGAAACAACCAATCATAGACCACATCATCAGAGCAAGCCACTAAATCACTCACGGAGAGATATTGACAGCTCACTTTATACTGAAGTTAGTGCTGATGATGTCAGTGTCTGTAAAGACGATGAAAGCTTCTGTACGAATAAACAACCCAGCTCCTCAGAGAACACAATGCAACCAAGACCATCCAATTGACGTACAAACATTTTCCATTATTTCAACATCTGATATCATTCAGAGAGATTGACTTAGTCAATCTAGAAAGTGATAGTTACGCTTTCCGTCTGTTAGTCTTCAGGTAATTCGCAAGAAAATCCCAGTCCTGCCCCATTTACCGAGTTTTATTCAACCAGGGATTATAATCAACCGTCACACAACAGGTGTGCCTCATTGCCTCTAGTGCATGAATGCTTCTGAGTACATTGAAGTCGACCATATATCAATAAACACGTGATATAGGGAATCGGATAAGCCAAGTATGACAATACATACTCATACATGACGTTGGACAATGGTCACACTTTACTGTGAATTGTTAGAAGTAGTCAAATGTAAAGCCTGTTGGGGTTGGATTCATGCAGCCGAATCGAAGTATATTCAGAATGAAACTTGGTGGTTCCAAACTTGACTCTACAAGGAGTTGTGAGTGAGCAGTTCTGATGATTCTAACCATGGAAATGTCACCAAGGATATCCAACATCTCGAAGACCACAGCTATACAGTCTACCAGTCTCAACATCGATTGAATTGAGTGTCGAGGTCTTCATTGACGAGTGTCAGATGTTTGTGTGACCGCACTTAGCACTTTCCTCCAATCCAATCTTACTTCAACTAACATTGAACGTGAAAGTAGGCGGTGGCTTCTATATGCATAGACAATATTAATCTACATTTGGAGGGTTTGTGAGGATTTATTGATTGACATTCGGTGATTACTCACCATGGACTTGGATCAGCTGGTACAGAACAATCAATACGCCAGGGGTGGGACTGAAAACCTTCAGGTTATAATGATACACATTTCCTGTATTGTATTCCCTGAGGAGCTAGGTTGTTTAATCGTGAAGATTTCATCGTCCTTCCAGACATCATCAGCACTAACTTCAGTATGAAGTGAGCTGTCAGTATCTCTCCGTGAATGATTTGCTAGCTTGCCCTGATGATGTCGTCTGGAAGGACGATGAAAGCTTTACGATTGAACAACCCCTAGCTCCTCAGAGAAGACAATACAACCGAAAGAGGTTTCAAGGTGGCTAGCCTGAAACATGGCAGTAGTTCATAAAGTTCTTTACTGTTGGTTTGAATCATCTGAAGAGATTTAAACTGCCTGGTTATGGTCTTCTAGACAAGGATTATCACAATTCCTCAGATATATTCACTGTAATCGATTTCATACCTAAAAACAGAGAGAGAATATAATAATAAAATTTTCATAATTTCACTTATTTTTTTTCTTCAGATATACTCCCATCAAAATTAGCCTGTTTAGATCCACAACTAATCTATACACTAGCAGCTCAACGAATTCGTCATCTTTTTGGTATTAATTACAATGTAAAAGATGAATTGAATATACTACTGAATAATTCGGCTTTTATCAATTCAGTATTATTAAAAAATAAAGACAAATGGTGTATTTCTGACAATGTGAAGAAAGATATCTCTAAGAATTCTCATATTCTAGAGAGTTGTATACGTGCAAGAGCTGTACTATCACCATGTGATAACACCAATGGTAGTGAAACACGTATGCTCTACAGACAATTAACTATTGGTTCATGTAAGTTGTCTAGTATTTTTTGTTCAAGCATTTCTACTTTTACTACTTATAAGTAGTTAGATTTATTGCTCAAAAATTATTTGATAGTTTTATTTTTTGCAATGACCTTTTGAGCCATCGAATATCGGAACATTTGGGTTGTCTACGATCAGTAAGTTAATCTTCAGTCATTTGGTTTTTTCTAACACGTTCGTTGAGGTACTGGTTTTCTTAACAGGTCATGAGATTAATGATGGGCAGCGGCTAGCAGTGGAATCTAGGATGCGCATTTCGTCCTATTTGCGACTCACTGGTCAGCTGGATGTACCTGCCTCCCAGTGCGAAATTCGGCCTCGGGAGCGATCGCTTCGAACGCCAGCTCCTTATCCACTCTACACCACTGAATCACGATAGTGTTATTGCTTGTATTACACTAGTCGATCGGAGCGATCACTCCCGAGTCCGAATCCCAGTGGGAACAACACTTGGCATTGGGAAGCAGGTACATCCAGCTGACGGAATGCGCATCCTCGATTCTATTGCTACCCACTACCCATCATTTATCTCATGACGTGTTAAGCACACTTAAAGCTCAACGATTGCGTTGGAAAAAAGTGTAAACCATTGGATTTCAACACAACGACCGAATGTTCCGATGTTCGATGGATCCTCAGGTCATGGTTTGCGCACTACTGATGAGTACTCTCACACTAGGTCGAAGCAGTTTGTTTTTTATAATCATATGTATCAAGGTAACCAATAGGTTTATGTGCAATGATTACGCAATCAACCCCACACTCTGTTTTCGCATAATTAGATTGATTTTTGAGATTCTTACTCTTGGTTATATTTCTTCCTTTGAGCTAGATGAAATAATCTCGGTGGTGTCATGGTCTTTCTTTCTAGCCCACATCATTATCGTGAATAACTAAGATACAAATGGACGGTGAACTGTCGGTGGTTCTCCGTCGCTTGTCCTGATGAACTGATCTGTGATTGCTTGTTGCCTTTGATTGTTGTTTCATTGACTGCATAGATTCACTTTGAGTTTATTCCTCTACTTGACCTCTGACTTTTGGTCCACGTCTATGCATCTGCTGGTTTATGACCGGACCGAAATACCAAGATCCATCTCTCCGTCCAAGATTTCTACATTGTCCAATGCAATGTTGATCACAATTAGTGCAGGGGATTTCATTGGAGAGATATTTTTTGACTTTTACTCTCCCTTCGGTGTACATCCATATATGGTTTCAAGAGAATTCGGTTGGTTTCTAAAGCGCCACACCAATTTCAAGTGGTCTTTATGTATATGGGAGGATGATCCGTTTGTTGATTTCTATGGGATGACTTTGTAGTTGATGATATACGCCGTAGGTATATTCTGATGAAGTTTCTGTATGATGTTGCTGTACTGCCGTGAATTCTTTCTCTTCTCGATAGAGCCTGTACGTTATTGTTGTTGATGTATTGCTACCGTAATTGAGGGTTCGATCAGTACGGGTGAACTTCCTTTACACTTCCGTTTCCAGTTTTCTGTCATCTGGTCTACTGACTACCATATTCAGGAATGACAGTTGGTTGTTCGACTCCTTCTCCATTATGAGTTTGATGTCATCCACATAACAGATGCACACTTTCAGTTTGATCACTGGCAAAAATGATGGCTTCCAGCCTCTACATCCCCGCTTCTACAATAAGTCCGGATGTCGGTGACCCCATTGGGGTTCCTTCCAGATGTTTGTATATCTTCGCATCGAACTGGAAGTATGTTGTTAAACATACTATCCTTGACTAGTTGCGGTTCGATTGATGTGAATACAATGCTGTGACATTGGAAGTTCATCATTCTGTATATGATAATGCCTTTGATGGTTTGTAAGAGTGTTGGTATTATTGCAGAAGATATTCCAGTCTCCTGGATAGTTAGCTCTGTGGATATGTTGTAAGTTGGAGTTCCCAGAAGTGAGATTATTGTTCATAGTCGCGTATCTTATTTGTGTTATGTTATTTGTTCTACTTTGAGAAGAGCTTGTTCAAGGTCTTGTTGGATCTAGTTGTCGAACTTCTGTATAGAGTAATCGAGACACTGTCTTCTTAATGTAGTCTTCCTTATCCATGACTATGTTGGTCATTCTGCATTCAACTAATTCTGTATAGTCTACTCATCTGAATGATCATGGTTGGCTAGCTTGACTTCTTCGCTCCATTCCCAACTGGTTACTCTAACACATGAAGAGGTGCCCCTCTGACTGAGTTCATATCTTTGGAAGGCAGCCAGCCTCTTTTTATGGTAGTGCTGAAGATAGAGAGCTAGCTGCCTGTCACAGTTTACATTACTACTAATTCTGTTTTCAACTCTCCTTATCAATATCCGAATTTCACTTGACAGTTTGATATGTTCTTCCATTTTGTTTAGCTGAATCACTTTGATTAGGAAAGTCTAAATGAAATTCTTCATTGTCCTCCTATCCTGTTCTCATTTACTCCAATGTAATGTCACCTTCGTATATCTTTTTAACCCTTCAGACTTATACTACTGACTATTATTGAGTAGCATAAATGTTGTTTCGACTGTGTTTATTCTATTCAGTTAGCATCTTGTTCATCATTCCACGTATGCGGAGATTATTATCTCTTCCATGGTTTGTGTTACTATTGGTATCTGTTTCGTGTTTCCCTTATGCGCCATGTTACCTTGAACATTTGTTAATCTTGTGTCTTTACTACTTAACCGTGGGAACATATTTTTGTCAGAATTTATTTGTCCCTTGGGTTCCTAGTGGAACATACAGCTTCAGTAGCACGTCTCCATTCCACTCTCTTCTCTGCAAACTTTTGAACCTGACTCCACGACAGCCCTGAAGATCTCGTTTATTACTCACATGATCTCCTCCATGTCATCCTCGGACGCCCAACTCGCCGTTTCCCATCTGGTTTCCACTCGAGTGCCTAGCCTGGTGCGTGATATCCACAGTAGGCCTTCTCAGTGTATGCCCAATCCATCTCCACTTCCACTCACTTGTGCATATTTGTTGGGCGATAGGTTCCTTCTTCGTTGGTTCGTCACTAGCCAGACTTCCTTGTTGCTTATTCTTGCTGGTCATCCATCTGGTCTTCAGTGTCGAGCCAGCGTAGGCAGTTGTTGATGAATGTTTGTAGTTTGTTTGAAATGCTTTCCGTACCACGCCAAGTCTCTGAGCCATACAGAAGCACTGATTTGACTGGATTGGTGTTCAAATTCTGGATGTTGTTCACGCTTTATACTGAGTGCAGAAGATCTCCACACTGGTTTCATTTCAATGAACGCCTGTCTTGCTTTGCTTTTCCGATCCTGACTTCGACGTCCTCGTCTATGCCTGTGCCGCTGGCTGTAGTTGAAACGAAGCTGCCTAGATAGGTGAAAGAGGCTTCTTTCTTTAAGTTTCTCCCATTAATGGTGATTGGAGCTTGTTGTTGTTGGTGGTGGAGTTGGTTGGATATCATCATCACCTCTGTCTTTCCTACGTTCACTTGAAGTCGCGTCTTCACTGCTTCGCCTCTTCTGTCAACCTGGTAGTTTTTGCTTGTAGATCTTCGAATTTGTGTGACATTAGACACAAATCATCAGCGAAATCCAAATCTTCTAGGATCTTTTCCTCGGTCCAGACAGCGTATTCCCCTCTCCTCGCTGTTTGGTGCATGATCCAGTCCACCACAATCAGGAATATCATGAGTGAAAGTACACAGCCTTGTTTTACTCCTGTTTTCACTGCACTTCAGAGGCATCACTGAGCTTTCCATTGTGAATTACTTGGCATGTGGCGTCTTCATATAGTTGTTGAATGAGATTGATAAAGGTTTGTGGTATTCCGTAGTGTTGAAGCAGCTGCCTACCAAATTACTTCTCGATTGACGCTGTCGAAGGCGTTTTTAAAGTGGATGAGGTTGAGGTATGATGATGCAAAGCGTTGCAATTTGGTCTGAACGTCATTTGTTCTTCCTGAATCCAGCGCATCTTCTAGTCTCTCCAGGATGATGCGGCTTATTACTTTGTTTGTGGGTAGGCAGTAGTGGAGCATGATTCTTCGCAAGCTTTTGCAAAGACTTAGGTATCCCTTCTTCAGGAGTTTGACAAGGTATCCTTTCTTCCAATCGCCAGGTACCTTTCCTTCGTTCCAAACCTTCTGCGGTTTTGGTGTGAGTATGTCTGCTGTTGTCCTTGCTCCTGTTCTCAATGCTTCTGTCGGGATTCTATCTGGTCCTGCTGTTTTCTCGCATTTCAGTAGCTTTTGTGGCGTTCAGGACTACGACTTTCGTCAGAGAGCTTGTGTTCACTTGTAGTTCTGTAGCAATAAACGTTCACTATGAGTAGTTAATGTTGGATAGTGACTACTAGTAGTGATGTCCATGGGGGGAATCAATCGATTCAATCCTCTGATGGGGGAGGAGGATTCATAATATTGATAATGCCTTGCTTATCTCTCTCTCTCTGTCTCTTTTCGTCTTATAGCACCAAATTGTCATCTATGTTTAACCAATTATCATTTATCATCTTCAACATTAATCAATACTGAATGTTGTTTCATTTCATCACATCATGCTACAATCTTTTATGATGATTGGACACAACATTATGAATTAATCAATTATAGTGAATATGGTACACGTGTAGATGGTATTGTCTATGGGAATGATATTGAAAGTAAATCGATTTATATATCAAAGGTAAGATGTTTATTGGTTACTTTACTAGTCTTTATAAAGTCAGTTATATAATCATAATAATATAGTGATCGAGAAATAACACTACCTTTTATTGGTATAAACCTGACCTTTATTATCGACCTCATTCAACAGTAGCGATATGAAGACGCCACATGCGAAGTGATTGACAGTAGGGAAGCTCAGTGATACCTTTGAAGGGCAGTGAAGACAGGGGACAGGAGTAAGACAAGGTTGCCACCTACTATCATCACTGATGATCTTCCTGAACAGGATCATGAAACATAGTAACTGTGAGAAGATGCACATACGCTGACATTGTCGTGTTAGTCGAATATATACTGGGGAATACTGCCTGTTTTTTCGGGGCACTAGAATAGAAATTCGATAAGTTTCAGTATGTTAACCGCTTCAGTTGCCAAGGAAGTTATATATCAGCTCAACTTTGTGGTGTTAACTGTTGTTTGGGTGTGTGTGTGTGCGGGGGGGGGGGGGAAGCGTCGAGACATTCAATTCCTTTCTAAGAGTCAAGCATGCAGGTCTACAATGCACTCATCAACGAAGGTAAGCGGAATGGCAAAACCTCAGATTTCGTTGTGAGACTGGGGTGGAGTGCGTGGAGTTGGCATCATTTCAAGTTGCCACACTTCAAACTAGTACCACAAAGAACAGATGGAATTGTCAACCACCAATTCCTATCGTCTCAGGGATTTCAGTGTATTAGTCTACATCCCGCAATTCGGTTCACTGGCCACTCTTAACCGTCTTATAACCTAATCCTTTCCCCCCCGCCCGGCATGGGATGTTGGGGACATAAAAATCGTGTAATCTTTTCAAATCTTCTCCTTTCAACGACAATGCTTCATTGGTGTATAACAATACAGGTTAGAATGCAGCGCTATATATTCATCCCTTCTGATGATCGTCAATTTTCACGCATCATTTTGATCATCTCTTTTCTCTTCCTAATGTCTATTCTGTAAAAAATAACCCCTATTAGTTTATTTTTCTTTCATCCTGTTCTATCCATTTTAGTCATCAGATCTTGTACATCGTGTACGTAACCTTATAAATAGTGTCCCTGAGGAAATATCCCCAAGTGAAAAACCTACCATCTCAGGACTTCGTACTTCACCACCGAAACGTGTAATGAAAATGTTGAGTAGACGACATGAAGTAAGTTTCTGTTTTTTTGGTCTATCTATTCAATGTTTTGTTGTTATTTTGTGATCGATAGGAGGCAGGGGGGGATTATAGTGCCAGTCATTTGAGCAGTTAGAAAACATTCAGGCTAATGACCGCCGCACATGTTTTAGAGTCTTTTGATATACTACTTGCAAATGATTTAAGTAACCAAATGATAAACACGACATTTTTTAATGACCAAATGATGGAGAGAGTTTGTGTGACGAATGTACTCATTTCTTTCAGGAGTTTTCGTTGTTAACTTATATTCTAGATTCTGAATAACAATTTCTAATGTGATGATCAACTGAAAGATCTCAAGAGTTTACTAGTCCACTTTCATTTCTGCCTATTCGCTTTGTTGACCAATCAACTCGAGTTGGTTATAGGTAGAAATCTTCCTGTGCGACCCAGATTTTCATATCACCTTCAATCATCATTCAATATTGAGTATAGAGAGAAGGAAGGGAGAGAGAAAAGATGATTATGATAAAGAGGTCAATTTTTTTTCGTCGAATGGTTTAGAAACTTGGTAAGTTATGAAAAGCACCTCCAACAAATTACAGATACGCATCATCAACAGTTGCCGCCTACTCTCAATCGATGCTGAAGATCAGATGAATGGCCAGAAAGAATAAGTGACAAGGAAGTCTGGGAGCGAACCAACGAAGCAAGAACCTATTAGTCAACAAATATGCAGAAGAAAGTGGAGATGGATTGGGCATGCACTGAGAAGGCTGATTAGGGACATCACGCGCCAGTCCAGTCCCTTGAGTGGTATCCAAAAGTTAAACGATGAGTTGGACGTCCCAACTGAGGGTGACATGGAGTAGATTATGTGAGGAAGAAATTAAAGCTTGTAGGCAGTTGTGGACCCCGGTTCAGAAAACTGCTGAGAGCAGAGTGAAATGGAGGCGTAGAAATTTCGGACAGAGGAAACACAAAGAATGTCAGAGAATTCCTAGAAGCTTGGCATTCAGGTCAGTCAGTCAGCAATCAACAGATGTATAGACATGGACCCGATCTATCAACCAATAAGAAAAATGATAAACGACAGAAAGGTGAGAGGTGAAGCAGAGGAACAGCCAACAGGAGAGTCTATATAATCAATGACACAACAATCGAAGGAAACAACCAATCATAGACCACATCATCAGAGCAAGCCACTAAATCACTCACGGAGAGATATTGACAGCTCACTTTATACTGAAGTTAGTGCTGATGATGTCAGTGTCTGTAAAGACGATGAAAGCTTCTGTACGAATAAACAACCCAGCTCCTCAGAGAACACAATGCAACCAAGACCATCCACTTGACGTACAAATATTCTCCATTATTTCGAAATGAAGGCGTGTTATTGAAGCCTTGTGTTTCACTAGGATCCCAAAGGGACTAGTTACAATGATGATGTCGCGTGGGAAGAAACACGATGAAATCTCTTCATGATTAAACTATGCAGCTCAGAGTAAACAACACCGAAGAACCATCAACAATGAAGTTTGGAGATTATTGTTCAAATCTCTCTTCTCATTCACATATGTATATTATACAGGTTTTAACGTGCCCTTCACATTCATCATTCTTATGACGTAACCAACATTTTATCATTTTGTGATTCATTTGTTCATTTCCCAAGCTAAAAAGCTTACGGACACTACACAACTTTCCTTTATCATACAGTGTACCTTTGGCTTCAATCGGGAATGTTCAGTACTTCCTATATAGGGCTTCATTAGCACGCCTCCATTTCATTCTGTTCTCTGTAGTCCTTTGAACCTCGCTCCACGACTGTCCACAAGCTTTCGTTTCTTCCTCACATGATCTAGTCCATGTCACCCTCAGCTGGGACGCCCAACTCATCGTTTCCCTTCTGGATACCACTTGAGAGACTGGCCTGGCGTGTTATGTCCCCAGTTGTCCTTCTCAGTATATGCCTAATCCATTTCCACTTTCTTCTTCTGCATATTGGTTGGGCGATAGGTTCTTGGTTGGTTTGTTGCCAGCCAGCCAGAGTTCCTTGTTGCTTATTCTTTCTGGCTATCTATCTGAGCTTCAGTAACGAGCCAGCGTAGGCAGTTGTTGATGAATATCTGTAGTTTGTTGGAAATACCTTTCGTAATGCGCCAAGTCTCTGATTCATATAGGAGCACTTACTTGACTGGATTGGTGTTGAAAATCTGGATGTTGTTCATGCTTTATGCTGAGTGCAGAAGATCTTCACACTGGTTTCAGGTTAATGAATGCCTGTCTTGCTGTTATTGCGATCCTGGCTGACTTTGACGTGCTAGCCTGTGCCGCTGGCTGTAGTTGAAACGATGCTCCTCTTTCTAGGTAGGTGGGTGAAAGAAACTTCTTTCTTTTAGTTTCTCCCGTTGACGGTGATGGTGATTGAAGCTACTTGTTTTTGTTGGTGGTGTTGGTTGGGTATCATCATCATCACCTCTGTCTTCGTACGTTCACTTGAAGTCCCGTCTTCGCTGCCTCAGATATATATATATATATATATATATATATATATATATATATATGAATGTGAAGGGCACGTTAAAACCTGTATAATATACATATGTGAATGAGAAGAGAGATTTGAACAATAATCTCCAAACTTCATTGTTGATGGTTCTTCGGTGTTGTTTACTCTGAGCTGCATAGTTTAATCATGAAGAGATTTCATCGTGTTTCTTCCTACACGAAATCATCGTCGTGACTAGTCGCCGCCAGGTGAAGAATAAACTGTCAATATCTGTCACTTATCATGATGAACTGATCTGTCATAGGTTGTTTCTTTTGATTGTTACGTCATTTTCGTGTTAGTTATTCCTCTGTTTGACTTCTAATCTTCAGTCCGTGTTCATATATATATATATATATATATATATATATATACTGGTTGATGACTGATCAGAATGCTAAACTTCCTCTTTCCGTCCAAGATTTCTACCAGTGTCAAAGCTGAATTCATGTGTTCATGGTTAACCATGTGGGTGTTCTCATGAAGAAGAAGGTGATTTACTTCGTTCCTGTGTGATGTTGTTGCATTCCATTGGATTCTCATCGTGTACGTAGTTCAGGTTTCCAGTTTTCTGTCATCTGGTCTACTGACTACCATATTCAGGAATGACAGTTGGTTGTTCGACTCCTTCTCCATTATGAGTTTGATGTCATCCACATAACAGATGCACACTTTCAGTTTGATCACTGGCAAAAATGATGGCTTCCAGCCTCTACATCCCCGCTTCTACAATAAGTCCGGATGTCGGTGACCCCATTGGGGTTCCTTCCAGATGTTTGTATATCTTCGCATCGAACTGGAAGTATGTTGTTAAACATACTATCCTTGACTAGTTGCGGTTCGATTGATGTGAATACAATGCTGTGACATTGGAAGTTCATCATTCTGTATATGATAATGCCTTTGATGGTTTGTAAGAGTGTTGGTATTATTGCAGAAGATATTCCAGTCTCCTGGATAGTTAGCTCTGTGGATATGTTGTAAGTTGTAGTTCCCAGAAGTGAGATTATTGTTCATAGTCGCGTATCTTATTTGTGTTATGTTATTTGTTCTACTTTGAGAAGAGCTGAGCGAAATTAAAGATGATATAGGATATGTGACTGACTCAGGTCATCTGAATATACGTCATATACATAGACGGTAAACAGAGGCCAGATTTTAACTGCTTATAAAATATGCTGGAGTAGATGTGAGAAATTCATGGATCAGGCAACTTTGGTGCTTAACGTAGCAGAAATAAATAGATGAGACATCTTGAACAATAGTTCTATGGAATGATCTTTTTATACTGACTGTAGAATATGTCATGATACGAGTACAGATTTCAAAGAGAAGTCAATCTCTTACAGGTCACATATTCATCTAAGCAACACTAAACTTGAGTGTAAAGTCTCCTGTTGAACACTAATTCTATATGTGAACAGTGGAGTTCGTTTCAAACAATAGGAACTTAGCAAGACTCAGGGAGAAGTGTTTGGAAAAACAGCCTATCTCATAAAGATCAGCTACACAATAGGTAATGGAACCGGAAACGCCAACAACAACAACAACTACTGAAAAAAGGAACTGAATCGTAAAGTCAGTATATGTTAAAGAAATCGAGTTGTTAGATCCCAATTACTATAAATTCATTGCATACAATGTCATTTTAAATGATTGGATGAAGCTTGAAGAGTACAGCCAATAAAGTGAGAAGTTTTGGAATTCATGTTACTGTGTAGTCAGGAGAAATCTTATTGGTCGATTTTCGTCCTACAGTTAGCCAATCAAAATGGTTTGCTCTTTGTCGGATATAGTTGTTTGCCTTACAGTTACAAGCTGGTCTTTTTCATCTGATTTTCCCAGCTCAATGAAGTATCAGGTCTAAAGGAGAATAATCGTTGTTCACATCCCCAATCCAGGTGTCTCATTGTGTTAATAGCTTTCCAACACAAACTGAATTAAGCTTGTCTCAGACGCAGACGCAGAACGTAGTAGAAATTAACCGTCGTATATCTCCTGACAATTGGTGAAATCTATCTACTGTTGCTTAGATATGCTGTACATCAGGTAGAGATGATTGAAACTGTAATCTTCTATCTAAAATTATTGTTGTAGGCAAGAGACGAAGGGAAAATATGCAGCAATGTTCACATCAGAAATATCATTCATATGATAGGAAATGCCTCATTTTGTGAAAGAATCAATTGCAGTGAGTATGCGAGTAAATCGTTTTGATGCTGGAAAAATGTGCTGGGAGCTTTTCATCAAGTCGTAATTCTGTGTCAATGCACCGTAGGTATGGTTGATAGTACAAACCATGTTTTCTAAACTGATATCCATCAGAAGTTTCACCTCAGTTCAAGTTAAGGTGTGAATAACAACCTTAGCATCCCTTTTTATAAACTTGGAAAATTGAACCAAGGCTCGGCGAACTTAGATAAATTATCGACAGCTGCAGAGCTGGACGAAATTAAAGATGATATAGGATATTTGACTGAGAGACACGAGTGAGAATGTCAAAGTCAGGTGAACAGTGATGTGAGGGAGCATAAGAGAACTGACAGAGTTGTGATACTTCCCAGATAACTACACACCGTGGAAGGTAAGGTCTTCTTGAGGAAGCTGATAAAGAAGAGTTAGCTCGTGACTGCAAAGTCCACTCAACGTCTATTTGATGTCTGTTCAGTGTTTTGCTTTCGAATCCCACATAATGAATTCGTGTCTGAAGTGTTGGCATGCCGCTGTGTAAATAGTAGTGTGCTACTTCTGACGACCGACCTTTTCTAACCCTCAACCTTTGGTTGTATAAGGCAGCATCAGTGTGTCACTGATGGTCATCCGAGAGAAACAAGTTACTACTACTGCTGCATTTCCGTCGACTCAGCGTCACAACTTTACCCTGATAGCGTAGCAATGCACACTGGAATGGTAATTACTTTTCATCTAATCACTATTCTACAGACGTTTTTCGTATGGTAAGATGTCAGGACAACAGGCGTCCTTAGAGATCGTAGGCATACTTTACTCGTTTCCATGCTTAATAATGAAGTATACATTACTACACTAGCATTACATGACTACAGGTTTCGGGAAGAGAGTTTTTTGAAGTCCCTTCAGATGGAAGTGGTAATCATAGTAAGTGAAGATGGAGTGTTCCAGCCTAGATCACCTTTGGCCGCCGATTCCAGTCCCGCCTCATCTACTGAGTTTTATTCAACCGTCACACAACAGGTGTGCCTCATTGCCTCTAGTGCGTGAATGCTTCTGAGTACATTGAAGTCCACCATATATCAATAAACACGTGATATAGGTAGTCGGATAAGCCAAGTATGACAATACATACTCATACATGACGTTGGACAATGGTCACACTTTACTGTGAATTGTTAGAAGTAGTCAAATGTAAAGCCTGTTGGGGTTGGATTCATGCAGCTGAATCGAAGTATGTTCAGAATGAAACTTCATGATTCCAAGATTTAACAACAGTTTGTTGAAGGATTTTGTTGTATCTAGTTGTAGAACTTTTCTGTAGGGTTACTTTGAAGTAGTTGAACAATCAACTGTCATTTCTGGATGTTTGTTTGTCAATAGAACCAATGTCAACTTACGTACAGGCTCGCGTGTACTGCATGGCAGTCCGGTCTGTTCTGCTGTATGGCTATGAAACATAGCCATTGAAGGTGGAAGAATTGAGGAGGCGGCCTCAGGTGTTTGACCTCCCTTTCTTCGTAGTATAGGCCGTATTGTATGGTGTCACTACTTGAGTAACGTAGAAGTCAAAAGTAGAGTTTTAGGGAGTAGAGGTAAATTAGTTGATCAGGTTATGAACCTTCATCGACTCTGATGGTTGGGACACGTACCACGTATGCCTAGTAGCCGATTGCCTGGTCACAATGTTGGCTGAAGTAGGCCCGAGCTGGGAAAAGGCATGAGGTGGCCAGACTGAAATATGGCACCAATGTTTGAAGTCTCTGACCGTTGGTTTGAGCCATGTGGGGCGATGCATTCTCTTATTTTCATCTTGCGCCTCACCGACGTTTTGCTTGATCTAGTGATATGAGGTATGGGAACTCAGACCGTTACGTAATAATACCTGGTCCTAGGTTGATCTGGATGGATGGGTGAGCCATTTCGTTCTCGTATGTGACATCACATTCCTGCGAACCCATGACCTTCCCCATCAAGGATCGATTTCTAACTTATATCAGTTTAAGAGATAGCGCGACATCTGGATTCAATTGATCTAATACTCATTGGTGGCTAACTTCGACAGGTGATTCCTGAAGTTCCTATGAAAAGTTGTGACCTGTGGCGCAACAAACCTGGTGGCCATGAGAACAAATACTCAACGATAACATTGGGTAATCGCTGCGCTGTGTTGTCAGCTGACAGAATTTGGAAGTATGGAGAATTAGATTCCGTTGACTCAGTGACTAGCTCTCCATGGTATCTTGCTGATCACAGAACCTGAAGTTCGCAGATCCGATGCCTGGCGGAGTCGTGAGTACACACTGCGCTAAAGAGTCTCGTACGAAAACGAAACACCTGACCATCCAGTCCTCTCAGGTTTCTAATATTCCTCCAACTAATGACACTCCATGACAAATAACAACTTGAATAATCATAGAATCTTCACAGACCCCTCAATTCAATTGATAGTTTCTACCTACAAACTCGAAGATCTACAAGCGAAAAGTAACAGAAGAGGCAGGATAGCGAAGACGGGACTTCCTTCAGATGAACGTAGACAAGACACAGGTTATGAAGATACCCAACCAACCAGCCAAAAACAACAAGCAGCAATCACCATCAACGGGAGAAATGTAAAGAAGGTTGTATCTTTAACGTACCTACGTACCTAGTAGGCAGCATCGTTTCAACTACAGGCGGCAAAGGCACAGATGAAGACGTCGACTTCAAGTTGAGAAAGACAGCAAGATAGGCTTTCCTTCATTAATCTGAAATAATCAGTGTGAAGATCTACTGCACTCAGCATAAAGCGTGAATAAGATCAGAATTCTCAACCCTAATTTAGTCAAGTCAGTGATTGCTTCTATATGATAGTTGAGTGAGTTGGCGCGTTACGAAAAGTATTCCCAAGAAACTACAGATATGCATCATCAACAGCGGCCGCCTGCGATCAGTCGATGCCGAAGATGGAGATCAGATGGCAGAAGGAATTAACAAGAAGAAAGTTTGGCTGGCCTGGCAACTAACTAACGAAGCATGAGGCTATCGTCCAAGAAATATCCAGAAGAAGAAAGTGGAGATGGATTAGATTGATTGAACGTGGAGTGAGAATGTGGTTTGGGGACATGACACGCCAGACCAGGTCGTTGAGTAGAAGCCTTATCGGAAACGATGAGTTGGTTGTTGGAGGGGTGACATGGAGGTGGAGATGGTGTGCTGAAGAAATGAAAGGTTATGGTTAGTCTTGTAGCCAGGTTAGCAAGACTGAAGGGGACATGCTAATGAAACCATATGTTCCCCTAGGAATCCAAGGGAAAAAAATAAAATGACCTACATTGAAGATATATGAATGATTGGAAGTGTATAGTTTCTACCTATAAACTCGATATACAAGCGAAAAGTAACAGGTTTTGGGGAGAGATGAGGCAGCGAAGGAGAATGAGACATATAGAAGACAACAGCAACAAGAATCATTAACAAGAGAAATGTCATACACATACGCACATCATAACAGTGTAATTTATGTATCTTTTGTAGTTATGACGTGTATTGATTCTATTATTTGATAATATTCTGGGGGTTTATCGATTAAAATGGTTAACAAGGATGTCAGTTGGGGGGGGGGGGCGGCTTAGAGATAACTCCTATTGATACACCATCTATCTATGTATCATTTTGTGTTTCTGTTTAATTTCAGGAGCTATACCATATGACATCATTATGTGATTGTACAAGTTTATATTTTAATAGGGATGATCATGAAGAACTTCATCAGACGTCGTTACCATTGGAAAAGATTAACATGATAGACGATAATCCTATGTGGAAAATAACTCAGCATAATAGTAATAATAATAATAAAGTGGATAGAAGAGAAATACTATCCGGTTGGGAAGGTTCAGCTATTCTACGACATGGATCAATAATTCAAGTTGGTTGTTATAAATTTGTATTTGGAATAATTAATTATTCATTACCACCACCGTCATCATCATCATCATCATCATGTATATTATCATCAAATAATACTTTAACAATATAATAAATAATAATAATAATTCCGTTATAATATCAATAAATGAATTTAATGATGTGTAGTGGAATCTAGGATGGGCATTTCGTCCTATGTGAGACTCATCAGACGGATGCCTCCCGAGATTTGGGAGTGACCGCTTCAAACGCGAGAGCATTATCCACTCTACACCACTGAGCCACTTCTCGTGTGACGGGTATAGTGTTTCTTAGTGTTATTTCTTGTATTACACCGTCGTTGATTGATCAGTCTGTGTTAGCATATGGGCTCCTGTGCGAATGCCTCAAAATTGCCTGTGTTTTAATTATATACAGTAATGATGGGTAGTGGCTAGCAGTGGAATCGGCGATGCGCTTTTCTTCAGCTGGATGTACCTGCTTCTCAGTGTCGAGTGATGTTGTTCCCACCGGGATTCGGACTTAGGAGCTATTGCTTCAAACGCCAGGGCCTTATCCAATGCATCACCGAGTCACTTCTTCTGTGAATTTAATGAATGAATTTAATTGTTCATTAATTTTACAAAGAAGAAATTGAACCGGGATGAAGTATAACTGATAATATAAATAATGATTACAACTTTGTGTGTGTGTGTGTGTGTGTGTGTGTGTGTGTGTGTGTGTGTGTGTGTGTGTGTGTGGCTTTAATCAGATTCCTCTTCATTACTACTGTTGTGACCCAGTGTTGTTTCCGTGCATGGCTATAATTATACTGAGACTCAATAGACATCTCAACCAAATACCTTTACGACTGACCTCCCTCAGTATCTTCTGCTTCATTGAGCCCCGCAGAAATCAGAAGACAAAGCAGTTTGTGACTGCAAGAACAGCGACAACAACTTTTATTAGGCGAATACATGACGGATATATCTCGTTACGAAACCCTTAGAAAGTGAAGCCATAAATGAACCAATGCGAGTTGTTTGTTTGAGGACGAATTTCTCCAATCAGTTCCTCATGCCAAAGCAAGCATAAATCACGATATGAACATGATCTGATCATGACTTGAAAACAACTCCCCTATTAGCTGCCTTCTTGTCGCTACTTATCAACTATTATTATAATTATTATTCGATAGTGTGCATCTGTAAATTCCATGGCATGGGTTTGAGTCAACGAGTCAGATACACAATTTAAATAGTTATTATTCATGATTAGAGCTCCGTGAATTATCATCTCTGAACGCATACAATGAGATTATATAAACACTGAACGCCAAGACAACAACTCCATAATAATAATAAGTGGCAGTACCGCCCTATGAAGTGAAACGACACCAGCGAGAAATATGGAGAATTCAATTCCAAAGGCCTTAACCACTACTACACTGACAAAGACACCAAAATCAGTACGAAAAACATGACTGAACCTAGACCTATACTCTGAAATGGTATACAAAGAATTAGTGGATGAGAATTTCTGGGTGATGTCCAGGGGAAGAACAACAATGCGAACAATGACCAGTGATTATCTCTGCATGAGTGATTCACTAGTTGGTTTCTGATAGGTTGTCTACTCTGATTGTTCCTTTGCTTGACCTGTGACCTTTCTGACGTTTATCATTTCGTGTATTGGTTCACACATTCAATCTATGTTGATACAAGGATTGATTGCTGACCTGAATATCGAACTTCTAGGAATTCTTTGTTTCCTCTCTCTGACAAACATTTGTACATTGACAAAGTTGAATTAATTAATATCCATAGTTGTTATCCACGTGAATTGAGCGGTGAGTGATGAGAGGTCGTCTGTCACGTTTAATCGCCAATTCATGTTGTCATGTAGGCAAACCTGCGACGACGACGACTTTATCCAGTGAATGTAGTGTTCAATACAGCTAATGTAGTTGTTTGTTCCACCGTGTTTTGTCTCCACAGTAGAGCTTGAAGGGAATCTGTTGGTTTATGCAGTGTCAAACCACTTGCAAGTGGTCTGAGTTACCTTGTCATGATCTGTGATGTGTAGTTCATGTATATAGGAGGATGATATGTGTGATATCAGTTCATCATAATGATGAATACCGACAAACTTGTTAATTCAAACTGAATGTAGAACTATGCTTTGCAATGGTATACAGAGAACTAGTGGATGAGAATTTCTGGGTGATGTCCAGGGGAAGAACAACAATGCGAACAATGACCAGTGATTATCTCTGCATGAGTGATTCACTAGTTGGTTTCTGATAGGTTGTCTACTTTGATTGTTCCTTTGCTTGACCTGTGACCTTTCTCACGTTTATCATTTCGTGTATTGGTTCACACATTCAATCTATGTTGATACAACGATTGATTGCTGACCTGAATATCGAACTTCTAGGAATTCTTTGTTTCCTCTCTCTGACAAACATATGTGCATTGACGAATTTCACAAAGTTCCAATTTCCTGTGTCGATGAGTTGCACTAGGGGTGTAAACGTTTTCACTGCTACCTACTTCGCTTTTGAGTAATGAAGCTGGTAAATGCTCTCGTATCCCGAGTTGCATCTACTTAATCTTTTGCCCCCTTGGTTTTGTGGTGTTCTCCTAGCTGAGTTCTTCAGTTGTGGAGCTATCAATATCTCTCGATGACTGATTTAGTACCTTGCCCTGACCAACTCGTTTGTGATTTACTGATACCTGTGACTGTTGTCATTGGCTGCCACATACATTTCCCTGTCGGCTATTCCTCTGCTTCACCCCTCTTCACCTTTCCGTCGTTTATCTTTTCTCTCATTGGTCGATAGACTGGGTGTACGTCGATACATCTGTTGACTGACAGATCTGAATGTCAGCCTTCTAGGAATTCTCTGATGATATTCTTTGTGTTTCATCTCTCCATCCAAGATTTCTTCATCGTCAAAATTCAATTCATCTCAATAGTTGTTATCCATATGGATTGGAATGAGCAGCGATGACATATGGTCTGTGACGTTTAATCGCCGATTGGTGTTCTTATGTAGGCGAAGGTGAAGCGACCACTTTGTCCAATGCGGTGTGTTGACTACAGTTTATTTTGTAAATGATATTTACTTTGTTTTCTTTGGTTGCTGAGCCCTCTTTGGCTTGCATAATTGGATTTGGAGGGAATTCGTTGGTTTATGAGACGCCACACCGATTCCCCGTAGTCTGAGCAATCTTGTCGTGATCTCTCATATGTTGTTCATGTATGCGGGAAGATGATGCATTTGTTGATGACTTTGTAGTTGATGATGTATGGGATAAGCATCTTGTGATAAATTTCCGTGGGCAGCCGTTCCTCTTTACGATGAACATCAAGTAATTTTCTTCGTTTCTCCGTGAAGTTGTTATGGTGGAGTGCAGTGCTCTTTTGAATAGAGTCTGCATGCAACTCATTTCGTGTGTCATTGCATTGTTGCTATTGTAGTTGAGGATTTGATCAGTGTGTGTTGGCTTCTTGTACACTTAAGTTTCAAGCTTTCCGGCATTTCTCCTACTGACTAAAACATCCAGGAATCGTAGTTGGTTGTGTTCGACCCCTTCTCCATTGTGAATTTGATGTTACTGAAAACGTTGTTGATCAAATTGTGGGGAGCACAATGATGATAAAGAAAACACCCACAATTTTGATCAACAACGTTTTCAGTAACATCAAATTCACAATGGAGAAGAAGTCAAACAACCGACTACCATTCCTGGATGTTTTAGTCAGTAGGACAAATACGGAGAAGCTGGAAACGCAAGTGTACAGGAAGCCAACACACACTGACCAAATCCTCAACTACAGTAGCAACAACCCAACAACACACAAGATCAATTACGTGCAAAGTGTATTCAAGAAAGCAAGAACACACTGCACTGCAGTACAACAACTTCACAGAGAAACAAAGAAAATTACTTGATGTCCACCCTAAAGAAGAACGGCTACCCACGAAAATTTATCATCAACTACAAAGTCATCGACAGAAATCAATCAATGCATCATCCTACCACACATAAAGCATATATCAGAAATCATGACAAGATTACTGAGAACACTCTGAATTGGTGTGGCTCATAAACAAACAAATTCCTTCCAAACACTATTATGCAGACCAAAGTATGCGACAACCAAAGAAGACAAACCGAACATCACTTACAAAATCAACTGCAATAACTGTAGTCAACACTACACTTTGGACAAAGTGGTCGCCCCACCTTCGTCTTCGTCTACATGAACACCGTTTGGCTATTAAGCGCCAGCACATTTCATCACTCATTTGAATGCACGTGGATAACAATTATGGGTATGAATTGAATTTCGACAATGTTGAAATCTTCGAAGGACAGAGGAAACACAAAGAATGTCAGAGAATTCCTAGAAGCTTGGTATTCAGGTCTGTCAGTCAGCAATCACAGATGTATAGGCATAGACCCAGTCTATGAACCGTTGACAAAAATGACAAACGACAGAAAGGTCAGAGGTGAAGCAGAGGAACAGCCAACTCGAAAGTCTATACAATCAATGACACAAGAATCAAAGGAAACCACCAATCATAGACCGTTTCGTCAAGGCAAGCTACTGAAATACTCACGGAGAGATGTTGACAGCTCACTTCATCCTGAAGTTAGTGCTGATGATGTCGCTGTCTCATAAGACGATGAAAGCTTCACGATTAAACAATCCAGCTCAGATAACACAATATAACCAAGACGAGTTAATTCATGCCTAGGATAGCTGTGTGAGAGAAAGGTGTATAGAGAAATGTATCGTTCTCTAATAGTTGATTCCATTGGGGTGTCAAGGACCACAGGCAAGTCCTCTACCTACCCTTCTCAGACCAACATTCAGGAAATTTAATCGTGTGGCCAGTCTGAACCCTTTTTTAAGTTAATTCATCTTCCCGTAGTATGGCACGTCACCTCGCCTAGTAGCCTTCGTCTGATGTCAACATTGCTCACGGAATGATGCCAACAAACATGGGAGGTGCTAGGAAGATATTCGTGATCAAAACCTTGTGATCGGTTTATTTCTTCGACTTTGACGCTCATTTCTGACAACAGGAGAGAATGGACTGTAGTACGGGATACGTCTGAA